TGGGAGAGAGCGACGGCGATAGGAGAGGGTTCGCGGGACGGGAGTGACGAACTGAGCGGTGGATGAGGACCTGGTAGGACGACCTTTACGTGCGAGTGGTGGGGCTTTCGGCAGTGTCTTTAGGGTTTACTTTATGGGGTTGTATCGTGAAATGCAAGGCTGCTCTAGCCCCTGGGAGTGCAGTTGGAGTTACAATTGTCAAAGTTGAGATACATCAAAATGCACTGTTTTCAAAGAAACGATGTAAATCATAAACAGTATCTCGACTCGCCATCAACTAAAATGCTAGGCAATATGTGCGTATGGCATACCCTCCTTATGTCAGTTGATTCGCGACAATCACTAAACGTGTTTCCCGAGTCTAAAGCCCGTGTTCGCTCCACCATCGTATCCTATCTACTTCCCTAACCATCACCCCACCGCTTCCGCGCCCCTGTTCCAGACCGGAGCGGATCCGTAAGGAGCGTCTGGAGGGCGGCCTACGTCTGTCGGTGACCAACCTGCTCAGCCACGACAGCGGCAACTTCTCCTGCGAGACCCAGCTGGCCGACGAGACCATTGTGCTCAAGTCGTTCATACTCTACGTCCGGCCGCGTGAGTGGCAGAATCAGCGGGAGGGGCAAATGTCGTCAGCGGGGGCGTAAAGAGCTCTGGAGCAGCTTTGTCCTGGGCCGGCCGCGTCCGGCCGCGTGAGTGGCAGAATCAGCGCGGGAGGGCAAATACCGTCAGCGGGGGCGTAAAGAGCTCTGGAGCAGCTTTGTCCTGGGTATGGTGTGATGACTTCCATGGCTGGGACCACTTAGTTTGAAGCTGGGGTTTGTCATGTTGTACCTATCTGATCAGAATATAATTTGTCATGCTCCTTGTAATATGTGGCGCTACGTTTTGTAGTGCAGTGCGCAGTGTTGTGTTGCGCTGATGTTATGCCGTTTTTATAGGGGTTCCACCGTCCTCTGCTTTAGTCGGCTGTTGGGAGGGCCAGTTCCATAATGCCAGGGACGTTATATGATGTATTTACCGCTGTGTCGTGTTTCAGCCGGCTGTTCGGACGGCCAGTTCCAGTGTCAGGGGCTCTGCATCAACCGGGTTTTTGTTTGTGACGGGAAGGCAGACTGCCCAGATGGCCTGGATGAAATGCTGGAGACGTGCGGAAGTGAGTAATCATCGACTGATTGACATTTACAACTGAAGAGTCTGAAAATCGACGGCGGTTCATGATTCCTTCTAGAGAAACATATTTTATGGGTATATTTATATTGTTTCAGGTGACATTTCACGATGCATATTCTTCGCATGACATGAATAGCCGATGATCATTTCGAATAACTTTACTTACTTACCTTCAGTTTGTGATCCTTGGCGAAATTCTCTTGCTCTGTTTATGTAGACTGCCTGGTCTTGCATCCATATGCGACCTTCATTAAAACGCGCTTTGACCTTGGTATCATGTATTTGACCTCTTTGAATTACCTTCAGCGGCCCATGTGACCGTTATTCGCACACCTACCTGAGTACTGACCCTCCGTTGACCCCCTCCCCCGCCCGCTGCCCAGAGCACGTGACGTGTGACGACGCGGGCCGCTCGGGCGGCGGTCAGCTGATTAAGTGCGGCGAGCGGTGCCGACCGCGCCACTTCTGCTGCTACCAGGGCAACTGCAGCACGGGCCGCTACATCAACGAGGACGAGCCCTGCTGCAAGCACATCATCGGCTTCAGCACCGGACGTGAGTGGGGTGCGGGACTGACATTGGGCGCAAAATGACCTTTGCAGTCGTCGCGCCCTAAAGCCCCAATAAACAAACATTGGGTGCGGGACTGCGGGGGGCGGCCGGTGGCGAGTTGAACCGTTTGGTGTCACTGTGGGTTACACTCATGGTCCCATGATGTTCTGTGATAAGTTCCGTGTTGTTCCGTGACGCTGTTCCGTGTTCTGTGACAGAGTATCGGCCGCACGACCTGGACAAGACTCGTCCGCGGCACGACGACCAGTCGGGCGCTTACGACCGTACCTACCTGGAGACGGCCATATACACCATTATCGGTGAGTTACTTTGTCCGATCGAACTTACCTGGAGACGGCCATATACACCATCATCTGTGATTTACTGTGTCCGCACGACCGTATTAGTATCGGGAGACGGCTATTTTGAGTACATTACGAGTATATAGGTACACTATTATCGGCGAGCTCATGAATCACATCTAATCGAGCCTTCAGATCTAATCAGCCTTCACATCTAATCCTTCGAGCTTTCAGCTACTGTAATTGCAGAATCGCTTGACAAGGCCTCATGACCACCCTCCAAGATTCTTGAATGATTGAATGAACACGCATTGTCCACTTAGATGAGGATAAATAATCTAATAAAACAGCATCTCACCGTGTGGTTTCGGTGTTGCCATGTCTCACCAGCTCACTGACTCCCCTCCCTCCCTCCCAATTCTCAGGCTGCGCGGTGGCGTTCATTCTGATCGTCTCCATCATGATCGTGGCGTTTTGCCGCGTCCACCTGCGCCAGTCGGCCCGCCTCTCGTCCTACTCGCACATGCGGGCTGCGCGCGCGGCGGCCGCCCACCCGCCGCTGGCCGACTTTGACCACCTGATGATGGCCGGCGGCGGCGCTCACTTTCCGGCCTACTATGGCGGCGGGCCGGGACATATGATGGTCACCTATAATATCAATAATGGAGTACAGGTGAGCTGCCACTGCGGAGACGGCAGAGGGGTGGGGTCAGAGGTGTGTGGTAGGAGAATGAACATGGAAGCTGGGAATCGGGATGCTGTATCTGCTATTTACTGTTTTCATGATACATGTCTCGGACTTTCCGTAGCCTTGGGTTGGCTGGCTGACTGATTACGCTCACCTGACTGCAGTGTCTGGCCAGCTAACTACACTTGGACCCCGTTCGAATTCATGTGCTCCCATTCTAACTCCGTCTGACTCGTACACGAACACAGTCTGGACCCATTCTAACCCCGTCCGACGCCGCTCTGTCAGGTGATGCCGCTGATCAGCCCTCCGAGCTACTCGGAGGCGGTGCAGGGCCAGGTGGGTGGCTCTCTGGAGACGCACCGGGCGGCCGCCGCGGCCCCCTCGGCCGGCGCCCCGCAGCCCAACGCGGGCCCGCCGCCGCCGTACGCCTCCCGCGAGACCCTGGCCGAGCCGTCCCCCGCCTACGCCGGCTCCGAGAACAACAACGGAGACATCAACGGTAATAGTGTGTCGGAGGCGGCCGAGGCGCCGGCCCCGCCCCGTCAGCCGAGGCCGGCGGCGCCGGTGGATGAACATGTGCCCAAGACTCCGTGAGGTGGTAGCGGGAGAGGTGCACCAGGCAGCTGAGTGGGGTAGTGAGCGGGCAGAGACCGTGAGAAGTCGCAGGGGAGGGCGATCGAGTGGTCGAGGTGGCGCTTTTAGGTGGGGTGACGGAGTCAGAACTGTGCCGAAACTGTGGACCGAGGCGCAAGACGGAATTGAATTACGGAGCAACTGAGTGTGGCGTCGGTTAGTTGCAGAGGTAGTCCGAGGTATTGAGGCCAGGTGCGTGCTGACCGGTCGGTCTTTAAAGTGGAGCTCCGACGCGCACACGTACTGTGTCTGGGCCACCGCAGAGAGTCGCCGTGGTTACCCAGCTAATAGCGTCGCAGCGACGTCCCGGGACAGTGACTCGGCGTACTCCTCGCTCGAAATCCGTCTTCCGTGCGGGTAGTGCACGTGCCACGTGCCATGCGCGTGCGATATCCGACTCTGATAACACCAGATAGTCCTTGTCGTAGAATACCGCTCGATTTAGATATATTTAGAGTCTCCTCACAGGCAATAAGGGCTTGTTTAGTAAAGCAGTTTTGTGCTATTAACTTGTTTCGGCTCGACGCGCCCAGCGCTCGTGCGACTGATTTGCCAACCGAAGCCATATACTCTGTTGTGCCGTGTTAATTGTGCATTCGCCAGCTGTATCTAGTCGTGTTTTGACGTATGTACTATGTATGTATAGTGTATACAGGCACACATCGCGCTCTTTGATAGCTAGCATAATAGCATTCCGAACTTTGTACATGTTTTGTGGTAATCGTCTGATATTACGCGGCAAATAATAGCCTGCCACATACTCGATAGCTTATATTACTTTCATTATCATTTGTTGAAGGTATGTGATACACAATACATAATAACTGAACGCAGGTCGATCGTGTACCGAATCGTTTGCACAGTGACTTGCCGCTGGGCTGTGGTCTGTGGAGTCTATTCGGGCCTCGCCTTTAGGTTGGAGCCGACCCCTCGTTCGCTGGTAGTAACCGGTCATTTACTACTGACCCCTGTCCGGTTCCTCTTCTGCCGGATAACTGTTGGCTATCTGAGCATATGGACGATGTCATCGACCGCATCTTGTGTCGCACATTAACTGGAGAACTATGACGTGCTCGCCCTCGCCAGCTAGTGCACCGCGGCGTCTGTCTGTATTGTACTCGTTTACTGACCTCTCCCTGTAATGGGACGGTAACCGCTCGTGTCCCGTAGCCCGCGACTGCGCCGGCGCGCCGTCAGGGGCCGGCTGATGTCTGATACCGTGTGATGAGCCGCTTTATGCGGCTGTCTTTGAGAGAGACTGGCTGCAGAATTTGTCTGAATGGTGGGCTGCAGTACAAATAAAGTCGCGTCCTGTGCTGCCACGGCTCCGTCTGTTGGATGGGTCTGCTGGAAGGTTATGCGCCGCTCTGAGGGGACCGCCTCTGCGGGCGAGTGTTGGAGGCCGAGGACCGGGGCTGGGAGATGGGAACGTGGTAGTGGTCTTGTTCAGCCCCAGTCTTCGGAATCGGTGGTTGAATTTGATACCCGACCATTGACCGAGCTATGGAAAACTGGCGCGTATATTAATAAGTTCGATTGCATCCAGTTCCAGTTAGGTAAGATCATAAAGTTCTTCATCGGACAGGCAGTCTTATCACGATTCGCAGGCTGAAAATAAGCTTCCTCGCCTTCCATTTCAATAGAAGATGATGATAAAACTTGGAATATATTATCGCGAAACAAAACATCACAGCAGGCACCAGAGTCCAACTCCCCACCATCCTCCACCGGACAATGAGACGATACATAGAGACAGAGCCCACTCATGACGCACAGAACGACTCACGGCGCCCCAATCCCCGGCGGAGGTAGGACAGACCATCGCAAACTGCACGGATCTCGTAACTACTGATTCATAGTGCGTGGGCGTGAATCGTACTGCTCTCCGAGTGCAGCTCCTTCAGACCACTTTAACCCGGCAGTTGCTGGGGTATTTCGCCACCCACCATTTGCTGGGGGGGGGCGTTAAACGCCCCCAGCCGATAACTCGAGAACCAATAGGCGCAGCGAAACGCACGAGGCGGCAAACGAAAGAGCGCGACGAGACGCTTCAGATGAGTACTTTAAAGTTGAATTTTGAGGTCACAGGTCGGGTCAAGGTCAGGTCAAACACCTGAAATCGGGCTTTCAGTAGCATGGACTTCAGGGCTTCGCAATGGGCGCCTCTCGTCATAAACTCTGTCAAAACGGTGCACAATCCATCATATAAGGCCTACAAGAGTGTCAGCTCCATGTAGGGGTCAGTCAAGCATAGGTCAGGGTCAAGGTCAGGTCAACCGGGTAGGCACATATCCCCGAAAATCAAAGCTGATATTTGCAACCTGTGACACATGTTTTATAGGTAATTTGGGGCGCAGAACACGATGGTGACATTCATTTTATCATATGTGTACGTGTTTGCCTCAAAAAGTTGAATTTAAGAAATGCATGTATCATGGTCGTGAAGTAGTCACGAAAAATTGCCAAGATTCAGTTCAAGATTATGGAAAATGCGGAACGATAATCAATAATCGAAGATAGCCATTTGATTGATCATGGTATTGGCAGTCTAATGGCGTTTACGGCATGTCTGTATGTCTATTCTGTGATTTTATATGATTTTTTGAACATATGCCGTTTTTGGTCGAAAACTCAGAAATCATGACGTCACTAAAACCTCGATATCTCAAAAATTTTCCGACCGATTTTTTTGAAACTTTGTCACAATAAACTTCAATCAATTCCCTACAGGTACCCAAAATTTGGCGCGCCTGCGGCGCGCCGTTTTTATGCTATGGCCCGGCGAAAAAAGTGGGGGCGTTTAACGCCCCCCCCTAGCAACTCGCGGGTTAAGACGCTTTCAGTCGATTCAAAGCTGGAAAATTAAAGATCTCAACATAAATATATTCCACGGCCTACATCTACTGATCACGATAAGTTTGTAAATCACATGCGACAATTGCACTATAAAATTGAAAAACGGACAATTATTTACCACAAAAAAATAAAAAAGCATGAGCCGATAAAATGTGTAAAACACCGTTAAAACAGAAAATCGTCCGACAGACGTCCCAATCGCTTTCGAAAAATTCACCGTCACCTTTCATCACGGAGCAATTCAGCCTTACGATCGAGCCGAGAGGCCACCATTGAAAAAAGCAGCACTCCAAAGTCCTACACTGCTGCATAGGGCCTTTCCCCGATCTATATACTCTGCTTTCCCCACTCGGAGCGCATCGAAAACACCCTCCGCCGTAACAACCATCCCTCAGCTCTCCGGAGCGTCAGCCGACGGGTCCGTGGCCGGTCCGTCACCGGGTGTAACTCCGGGTGTAACGTCGGGTGTAACGCCGGGTGTAACGCCGGCGGCGGCGGGGCTAAGCTGTACGATCAGCTGTCGGATGCCGGGCATCCAGGATCCGCACTCCCCGGGATAGTCGACCATGAGCGAGCGCTGCAGCCGGTCGGCGGTGTCCACAGAGCCTTCAGACAGCGCTGAAAGGGTAGGGAGGGGCTCGTTATAAACGCTACAGCCAGTCGGCGGTGTCCACAGAGCCTTCAGACAGCGCTGAAAGGGTAGGGAGGGGCTCGTTATAAACGCTACAGCCAGTCGGCGGTGTCCACAGAGCCTTCAGACAGAGCTGCAAGCAAGGCTGCAAGGGAAGGGGCGGTTAGAAACGCTGCAAGAAAGGCAGACGGTGAATAAGGTGAATTGTGAGCAGTAGCATAATCAATGGAAGCCGTGATGACATTAGGAAAAAAAGAATCATAAACGCATTCGGCACCGATCGACTCAGCGCAATTATTTCGCACTCGAGGCAAAACTATAACCACTGTCAATTATTTATTCTACGGAAGCAGACAGCGCTGCCCGGAAAAGTGGCCGAGCCTGCAACCGGACGTGCCTGCTTGCCGTTGACGAGCTGCGAGTCTGCTGGACAGGCACGTTAACTTACAACTGACGTCTGCTGCGAGGATCTCTGCTGGACAGTCACGGCCGCTTACCATTAACGAGCTGCCATAGTCTCTGTTGAACGGCCACGCCTGCTTACCGTTGACAAGCTGCGATAATCTCTGTTGGACGGGCGCACTGAGTCGATCGGCGTCCAGCACACAGCAGATGACGTCCACACGCAGCGTGATGTCATCCTTCAGCTTCGCCTGCAGCACGCACACGAAAGGGTGGTGCAGTCAACAATTACGTTTTCACTTGTGTCGCTAGGAGAGGGGATACCGGAGATGGAATGGCGCCTGACAAGAAGAGAAAGTCTATGTAGATAGAATTATCAGCGAGTATCGGTGAAATCTTTCTTGTGTGAGCTTACAGTAAAGTTTGTATGTCAGAGCCACGGTCATAGAATACTAGTCAGAGCATTCGATGCTTTTTACAGCAACCCACAGAACCATTGCTAATGTCGATTTCAATGAACCATGGAGCGTAACAAGATACGATCGTAAAATTTCACCGACGATGGTCCACCCAAACGAGTGACCGTGCCGCGCCAGGCCCTCCGACCTAAAACAAACCGAACAACCAACCCGCAGCTGGCTGGTGGCATTGACCTACCTCGATTTGATCCAGACCGTCCAGGATGGACAGCAGCTTGGCCTTGATCTCACCCGCGGACAGAACCGGCGCCTCCTCACCAGACGACTTCGGTGGCGGACCCTGACCAGGAGCCGTCGGTGGCGGGCCCTGTCCGGCCAGCATAGGAGGCGGTCCCTGTCCGGGCAGCATAGGAGGCGGCGCCTGCCCAGAGGCCATCGGTGGCGGTCCCTGGCCGGGCCTGAGAGGGGGCGGGCCCTGGCCAGGGACCATCGGTGGCGGGCCCTGGCCTGGAGCCATCGGCGGCGGGCCCTGGCCGGACAACAGCGGAGAGCCCTGACCGGCCGTCCCCGTCACGGGGAAGGCGACTCGCTTGTTGAGCGGCGTGCGCTTCTGCTTGGCCTGCGCCGCCGACGCAGCGTCGTACGCGAACACGGGAGGGTCGTTCCATGCTTTATCATGGTTACCTGTATGAAAAGACAGATAGGCAGTGAGTGGTTTGACATATTTAGAGGGAAGTAAATGTAAAGAGAGCGCAGAAAATGATGAAAGCAAGGGCAAATGAAACGAAAGAAGAGGGGAAGGGGAGGGGTACAGGAAAAAGGTAACGTGAGAATAAGAATGAGCATGAGAGGAAAATAAAACTATAAGAATAGGAAAGAGAATAGGTGGATATAGAGCTAAAGAGAAATAAGAAAGAGAAAAGTGGAGAGGTGAGAGGTGAGAAGTGAGAAGTGAGAGGTGAGAGGTGAGAGGTGAGAGGTGAGAGAGGTGAGAGAGGTGAGAGGTGAGAGAGGTGAGAGGTGAGAGAGGTGAGAGGTGAGAGGTGAGAGGTGAGAGGTGAGAGGTGAGAGGAAAGGGAGGGAGGGAGGGAGGGAGGGAGGGAGGGAGGGAGGGAGGGAGGGAGGGAGGGGGAGGGGGAGGGGGAGGGGGAGGGGGAGGGGGAGGGGGAGGGGGAGGGGGAGGGGGAGGGGGAGGGGGAGGGGGAGGGGAGGGGGAGGGAGAGAGAGAGAGAGAGAGAGAGAGAGAGAGAGAGAGAGAGAGAGAGAGAGAGAAAGAGAGAGAGAGAGATGAATAGGCAGAGTTTAAGTTTAAGGGACATTACAAATGTTCTTTCACTCTAAAATGTATAACTACGCAAAATGAGATAATGTCATAGCCTTGGCCTGCGCTCTGTACTAACCTTCACGAATCCAGGACATGATGTGATTATCAAATTTCAAGCACAGCCAGGCAGGATATGAGCAGATATTCTTTGGTCCTGAAAAAAGCACTTATTAGGTTGGGCGCAGGTGAGTACCAACATGCATCATTACTACTGTGTGAAATAAAATTCACTGGCAAATCTACCGCTCTATATAATGATAAATTGCATCACTCTGGATGTTTTTCCACTCTATCATTGATTTGCAGGTACATCAACATCCTCACAATTCTTAGCTGCTGTGCAGTGTGCAATGCAAGCAAGGTCCTGCAGCCTGCAGGCCTGCAAGACGAGGAGCTAAAAAATTTGAAAAGCACCCTATGGCCAGCTTAACATTATTTGACCAACCAATCAGGCTGATTTTGACAAGATCAAGATCAATATTATTGTAATTCCAGTTTTAACTTTTAACACTTAATTATTGTTAATCATTTACAGGAATATTGTCAAAACACAACCAAATTGAAGCGGCGCACTCACAGCTTGACTCTCACCGCCTAATTGAAAAAGCCAGAAGCCCAATTTTTACGCAAATACCAAAGTGTATATCAAGTGTATATAAACAGCGAAATACACTACTGAAGGTCTGTAGAGGTTATATCAGACAATTTCTTTGTCATGAGTAGTCCTGATCACGTGGGTTTTGATACACAAAATCTTACATTTTATGTTATATAGACTTCAAGATAACATTATTTAGTAAACATGACATAACATGATTCATTTTGTAAAGTTACATTCGAAAATTTCATTCAAATCATTCCGAAAAGTTTTTCGTTAAATAAAATCACGTGATTTATGATGCAACAAATTATGCCTAAAGCGCAGTTCACACATGACCGTCAGTCTGTCGGTGTCGGGCCCGTCACCGTCGACCTGACGGCCTGCAGCCCGTCAAACGAAAGTTGAGATTTGGTAGCTCCCATTGGCTGCCATATGTTGTGACAGAAATGGCGCACTATTTTCGAGATGGACGCAGATGGGGGAAGGGGATGGGGGAGGGTAAAGGCCGAGAAGTTGAAAATATTCTTTGAATTACAGAAATAAAATACCACGCTTTTACATTTTTATGTCAAATAATGCTGCAATTTTATTTTAATGAAAGACACATCGGTTCGCTGACTTAAATCAGGGATCGAATCTCAAGATATCGTGCCGTAATAAACACTTTCATCTCAACAAATGGATAGAAAATGATATAAACTATCTTAAAAATGCATTTGAGCTTCATGCTGCATGATAACGTTCCTTTTCCTCTTCCTCCAACACGCAGACATTCAAACCGACGGGCCCGTCACCGTCAAAAGTTGAACATTGCTGAACTTTCCAAAGCGACGGCCGTCAGGTCCGGCGCCGGCGCAGTCAGCTGTTGCCGGCCGTCAAACGCTGCCGGTTCACACATGCCCGTCGACCTGACGGCCGTCGCTCCGTCGGTTTCGGCCGTTTTGACGGTGTCGGGCCCGTCACCGGCAGACCTTACGGGCAAGTGTGAACTGCGTTTAAGCCACTTTTGTCTCAAATGCGCAGTAAGATTTTTTTCCGATGATTTTTCCGATTTTTCCAAACTACTTGCTAGTAGTTGTTCTCTTAGTTGTTCTCTCTCACTCTGGAGCTCTGGAGCAAGGCTATCCCTCTGGAGCCTGGAGGATAGATATTTTGAAGTTTTCAAATACGAAGGTAATAGCGAAAGAATACCGAATAGGTACCTAATCTATCTTGAAGAATCTTAACTAGACAACTTCAGGCCTACAATCAATTTTTTCAGTGCGCTGCTGACTGGCATCGATCACCCAGGGCAAGGCTATATAAACCCAGGGTATATTGAGTCGATCACCCTTGCTTGAGCCTTGTATCCTATGCTTAGAGTGTAATCCAAACCCAAGGAAAAATCTGCATCATCCACTATATTTGCAGTAGGTCAAGGCAGCCAGTAGATAGGTCGAAGGTATACGACCTTCCATCATCCAGTCACAATGGGTACCATGGCCTTCCTTGAAGGTGAAAAATAAAATTAAATAGAAAATAAAATAATTAAAAACAGCTCCACCACACCTCCAAAAATAGTGGGCCAAATCCAAGGAGTTTTCCATTTCTAGAGGGGGGTCCGGGTACCTATGACAGACGACATTGGGCCGTGACCTGTGGCCCGTCCGGCTCCCTGAACAAAATCCTGGCTATGTGCCTGCTCCTTTTGCACCTTTTCCAGGAGTCTGCCATGACTGCCAGTGTCTTGTGGTCGAGTGTTGGAATAATAGAAATGATGTACCTATACCTATGTAGGGAGTTGATTGTGTTTGTCTGGGTGGATAGCACATTATGAGTTTGTGAATTTTGTCTCGTTTTGAGGGTGGTCAATGCTGATTTCCATCTCAGTTTGTCAGTGGCTGCCTTGATGGCCTATGTAGAGTTCCTATCACTAGTCTAGCTACCCTGTTTTGAAGTTTTTCCAGTCACAAGGAGTCAGTTGCTGTGATATTTCTGTCAGATAATGTTGCAATAGTCAAAGTGGGGAGGAGGGCCAGATCCAGATGCATATGTGGTAAATGAGATAGAGAACATGTCTTGGTAAAAGTAATGCTGTAGGGTAGAGAGGATTCTACAATCCATTGGCTTTCAAAATAATGTCATTTACATGTTGATGAAAATGCAAATCCTGAGAAAGGATGGTACTGAGATGCTTTTAGGAAAGAGACAGAATGAACAGCTCTGTCAATCTCTTCATTCAAACATTCAGCTAAAGAGATATATAAAATTACTTGGCCAGTATGACCACGTCATGTGCTGTCCTCTGACAGGTGACTGGTGCCGCCGCGCCCCTGTCGTATGTCTGAGAGCTCGGGCGACTCGGCCACAGAGTTCACCTGTCTGATGGATACCGCGGTGGCCGTGGGTCATGCCGGCGCCGGCAGCGGCAACCCGGCGCGCCGCAAACGCCGCTCGGGCGCCGCCGACGCCGAGCCGGCCGCGGCGCCGGCACCGGGCCCTCCGCCGCCCCCTCCTCCGGCCCCGCCCGAGGGCGGCCGGCGCGGCTCGGAGCGCGAGGTGGTCGAGGAGGTGGTCGAAGAAGAAGAGGAGGAGCTCAAGTACGGGGCCTCGCACGTCATCAAGCTGTACATGCCGGTGACGCTGTGTATGCTGGTGGTGGTAGCCACTATCAGCAGCATCCAGTTCTACAAGGAGGAGTCCACCACCTACCTGTGAGTCACTGGGCTGCGCTTCGCGAGTTTTAGCAGAAATAACCCCATCTTCAGTGCTCATGCTGCTTGATTTGGACATTAGGTATGTCGCTGTAGCATGCTTTTCTAATACTTTGTGAGAATCATTACATAGTACTTTTAAAACATACTTATGAGTTTCATTACTTGCATCAGTCTTTCGTCGCTCTCCGGGCTCGGACAACATCCCATTTACCAATGCGGCAACGTGTGTTCCCAGGCTGTACACGCCGTTCCACGAGACCTCTGACAACGCGGGCACCAAGGCGTGGAACGCGTTCGCCAACGCCGCCATCCTGCTCTCTGTGATCGTCTGTATGACCTTCTTCATCTTCATGCTGTACAAGTACCGCTGCTACAAGGTTGGTGCGGACGAGCTCGGTGGTGGGGGAAGAGAGGGAGGGCTAGTCGATAGTATCGCGTCGGCCGGTGGTAAGTTGAAAAAAACTGTGGCTGGTTGTAGCTGTCGACTGTTTTTACAATTAGTCAGAACTTGTTTTCTTGATCAACGGTAAATTTAGCATGCCACATTTTATCTTCTGATGCAGATTGAACTTTGAAGTATATTTGTAACAGCTAATACGTCATTGACAGTTTAATTTACATGCTCTGTGGCACATAGTTGTGTCGTTCGTTTTGTGCTACCGTTAAAAACGTACGTCGGGTTTGGTGCGGCTGCTGAAGGCGTTGTTTATTTTCATTCTACACTTCCCTGTGATATTTATTAATATCTCCCCTTCCGCAGTTTATTCACGGATGGCTGATTCTATCGTCGTTTATGCTGCTCTTCATGTTCACCTACATCTACATGTCGTAAGTAAAAGCCAATGGCCGCCGCCTGAGCCATCAGAGTTCCAATGGTTCATAACACTGCTGCTTCGCTTGGTCACTTTAATGTTAACAGTTTTGTGATCATTTGAAAATGTCTTGCATGTAGACAGCTGACTTATAGTTTGACTTCCTGCTACCTAAGACAAGTCAAATTTGAATTCCTCAAAACTCTCCTGTCAAGGATCAAATTATGCAAGTCTGTATTTGGAAATCAGTGCGAGAACATTCTTCTAAATTCCGTTCACTAATGTTCTGAAGTTCGACAAATCGGTGGTCTGCGCCTAGTGACGTGGTTTCGCTTCTCGCTCCGTACAGGGAGGTACTGAACGCCTACAACGTTCCGATCGACTACATGACGATCCTGTTCTCGCTGTGGAACTTTGGCGTGGTGGGTATGGTGGCCATCCACTGGAAGGCGCCGCTCATCATACAGCAGGTGAGGACAGTGTGTCGAAGGGGAGCGCTGTGACTGGGGGAAACCGGGAGATGTTCATAACGAGATTGGAAATAGGGAGAATGTGATTTTAAGTGATCCGTAACACCGAGCGAAGAGCGTTTATGCTACATGTAATTGCAACCAGCGATTGTAGATTAATTGTATGCTCAACATCAGTCCGCGGTTGTGAAATTACGGATAATCGAACGATCCACTAAACCGCCTTAACGTCCCCCGCAGGCGTACCCCACTCATCCGTTCCACCCCGCAGGCGTACCTGATCTTCATGTCCGCTCTGATGGCGCTGGTGTTCATCAAGTTCATGCCCGACTGGACGACGTGGGTGGTGCTGGGCACCATCTCCGTCTGGGACCTGATAGCCGTCCTCTGTCCGCACGGGCCGCTCCGCAAACTGGTCGAGACCGCACAGGAACGGAACGAACAGATCTTCCCGGCGCTCATCTACTCGTGTAGGTGCCGTTGGGGATTCTGAGCGGATTGGATGGGATGCTGTGATGCGACTGTGGCTGGGTCGAAAAACGGGAAACGGGAGGGAGATATACGGCTGGATGTTTGCGTTCAGAGTATGTAATAGGAATACCGTGCTCTGAGGGGATGCTACTGCAGGTGCAAGTGCAGGTAGCTGGCAGCAGTAATCGAACATCTCATTGTCATGTTGCCATAACTTTATCGCTAACTTAGTCATCGTCCAACATGTGCGCAACATGCCTGTCTGTCTTTCTCATATTTCATGTCGTTCAGCCGGGTCACCTGGTCCTTTTTTGCTTTCCCTCTTCAACCCCACGCTAGTCAGCCCTATAACCTCGGACCATCTCGCCCCCAGCGGCCATGGTGTACAGCACGGTGGTGATGGCCACTGACGAGGGCAGCGCCCCGCCGCCGGCCCGGCCCCCTCGGCGCCGCTCGGCTGCCGAGAGCGACGACGGCGGGTTCGCCGAGATGAACGACCCGGACCGGCAGGAGCGGGCCGCCCGGCGCAGACAGCAGGTCAGTGAGCCCACCTAACGGGCAGTGAGGGTGGGAGAGACAGGAGCGGGCCGCCCGGCGCCGACAGCAGGTCAGTTAGGAGCCGACAGCAGACGGGGGGGAGGGAGGGGGTCGGACAGGAGCGAGCCGCCTGCCCAGGCGCCCAGTAGATCATTGAGGGTACTTCAGCAGGTCACGAGAACGTCACTCAGCAGCCGCGCTGAGGTCAGAGGTGCCAGTGCTCGTCGCAATTTTCCATAACGCAGAGTGCATTGAGTAAGAATAGTTTCGGTAAAGTGAGGGAGCGATAGGGTGGATAGTTTGCTTTGCTGCAGTTTGGGTGGTGTGAGGTTGGTGAGATGCGCGCTACCGGGCTAGTTAGTCTCCCTAACTCCCCCTCCCTCACCCTCAGGTGGTGCACCAGGCGCCGGCCGGCGACCGTCAGCGCCAGCCGCCGCCTCAGCCGCAGTTTGTCGAGGACGAGGAGGAGCGGGGCATCAAGCTGGGCCTGGGCGACTTTATCTTCTACAGCGTGCTGGTGGGCAAGGCGTCCTCGTACGGCGACTGGAACACCACCATCGCCTGCTTCGTGGCCATCCTCATCGTGAGTAGAACAGATAGGGACGGAGGGAGGGAGGAAGAGGGACGGATGGTTCGGGTGGGAGATATGTTGTGGGTATGTGGTGGGTAGACGTTTGTTTAGTTTTCCGCCTGTTTGTTTGTGGTGGAACAGCGTTGTTTGCGGAAATGATCGGTTTTTACAGGATTCCGCGATTCTTCATTCCTTGCCTCGTCTGCTCCCAAGCTGAAGTGTAAGTTGCTCCCAAACCAAGTTTTGTTCCGCTCTCAAGTTGGAATCCACTACGCTCAGATCATACCTGTTGTGTGACATTTACTGTAAAACTCGCATTTCTCCACTGTGACATACGGCTTCACACCCAACTGACATCTCGTCATGTCACACCGCCCGCAAGTGCACAACTCTGCACTCCTCTCCATCCATCGTCCCGCTCCGACGCCCATTCTAACCCCCGCCTCTCCCCACAGGGTCTGAGTCTGACACTACTGCTTCTGGCCATCATCAAAGCCGCGCTGCCGGCGCTGCCCATCTCGATCACCTTCGGCCTAGTCTTCTATTTCGCCACGCGCGCCGTGATCGCCCCGTTCGCCGACAGTCTGGCGCTGCAGCAGGTGTTTATATAGCGGCGGCGGGGATACGGAGACACTGCGGATCCCACCGCCACTAAGCCGCCCGACAGGTGCTTAGGGGTGGACCTTGTGATGTAGAGCGGTTAACATGTGGAATCATACATAATTCCTATTTCCGCGTCAATAGAACCCAGAGACATGATGTTGAGACGCATCCATTCGGTGCTAGCTTTGTGAGAGCGAAGCTATGATTAGGTATAAAATTGTGCAGTGAGAAACTAGTGACCAAAACAATCAAACGATTCGAATATTTTATGAGTGAGAAAACACGCTACACCCTACTTGCAAGAGAGATCTTTGTATGTGAAAGTATTAGTAACATTCCAAGTGGCGCGACGTTCACCACCACCGACCTCATATCCGTGGGAGAAGTGACTCCATTCCGGACCAAGCGCCGCGTCTTTCGCGTCAAACGGTGCGGGCTGGTGTGGGCACGGACTAAACCTCTGACCGAAGTGTCGCCGCGTCATCACCGCAAGACAACAGGCCCACGGAGGACACTGCTGTGATGCTGGTATTTCGGTGACTCTGAGACAGGTATGAAGCCTGAGAGACTGGAAGTGGGAGATAAGGGAGGGAGGATGGTTCGCGTAGTGACACTGATTCAAGTGGACCGCTGGGACGGCAGTCGGAAGGAGCTACCGGCGAGTGTCAGGGTACTGAGATCCACGGGAGTGGCGGCAAGTCAAAACTCGAAGACGGTGCTCAGTAAGAGCGGCAGGAGCCCTCTGACAGGTGTGTTGATTGACACAGACCCGACGGACATGACAGTCCTCTGACAGGACTGATGACAGGTCTGTGGCGGCACGTCCATGACAGGCGTGTGACGGATGTGATGAGTAGGTGTCAGGTCACAAGACGGTGCTCTTTCCACCGATGTTATCACTTATCAGAATGGTGTGCTTTTTAACTGTGCTAGGTCTGCTTCATATTTAATGCGCTTTTACCGTCGCGATCTCTCGTATTCTGTAATTCTTGCGCGGTATAATCGTTTTGCATCATCATTCCAGTCATACGGCCTGTGTATTCAAAGATGTATTGTTTGAATGTTGAACGTACTGATCAGTCATCACCCTGTGTTGCTTTGCTTATTCAACACGGCGATTATTCTAGAATAGTTGGGAGATAATTTGAATAGTGCCGTTCACAGTCGCATACGGGACGGGAATTGTACCGAATATGTCGCTCTACCAATTAATACATATTCGTTGGACTATCAACTATTTATGGAAAGGTTACAAGTTACCGAGTGGCAAGTATTCGCCGTTTCAGTGAAGCGGAGAAAAGGTTAGGTAACAGAAGTGCTACATAGTTTTATTGTTCGCCCATATCTGATAGTACACGCCAGTCACCATCGCAAACTTGTCGCGACAATCATCACATGCTGAAAGAAGCACCGCAAGTACGTACGAAGCGCTCTGTGGATTGCACGTTTTACGGCTCTCCAATATCAGTTCGGACAAGCGTGGTCACGCGCACGCGGTTGATGGCATTAGTGAAGCAGTGTTCGATATCTGGCTAAAGAGGCGTTCATCTTGTCCGGCAATTATTGCTACAGACACCGCACACCATGATACAGAATTGGGCCATACTTGAGCATATTCACACTGGTCGTTTCAGAAGCGAGGCAATATCTTATACCGGGTATAGTGCGAGAACTGCACGCATCACAATTCACAGTATCTCTCATGACTTTTCACAATTACCTGAAATCCTGACTTTGTTCTGGTGTCTTATGAACTGTTTACCGTTAACAGCTCATATGGAACAAACGCGGTTCTGGGAACCAAAGTCGGAGTAATAACGGTTGACTAGGTCGATTGGCAAAGAAAGCTAGGTTTTGTAGCGCGCAACATTTGGCACACTTGATCAAACGGCAGACATAACTGAAGTCTGGGACTGATTCCGAATGGCACATACCAAACGCTTGGATATAAATATTAATCATAATAGTTAACCAGCCACCACAGGAATAGCACCATTGAAACAAATCATCACAGAACTGCATTAGAGTAATAGTGAAAGCAATACATAAACCCACAATTAAAGTGCACACATAACAGGGAAGATATCATCGGAGACGCTACTATGACAACCATCATGGCACGGAAGGCTGACGATAGGCGCTGGCTCTGAAAATCGTTCACACGACGCTTCACATAGCGAACAATTTTTTGTTCAATGAGTAATCAAAAGCATTCATGCTACGACGTCCCTTTTTACTACGGTACGCTCCCTGTTTGTCATTTTTATCATAGCACGCATATGCGACTCAGAGCAGCTAAGGTTACTATCTGATCCCCTGAATTCCACAACCAAATATTCTGCCCCACAACCAACCTTTTGCAAACAGCCCAAGCACCAAACGTCAACGAACTCAGGTTCAGAGGAAGAAAGACAACCATTGACTACGCCATAATTAATGAGGATACCACAACAAATAAGATCTGATTGATCAAGACTAACTGATGTGCAGCACTCCGATATCTTCGGTCCAAAGCCCACCCAAACCGCACCTCTTTTAACTCCCGACCATAATTTGTTATGAAGCCGGCAATGTTTCACTGAGCATCGAACGGTCAGTGACAACTGGTGACATGAGGGCTGTTCACGGGCACCGCAAACTGCTGACTGCGGTGTGTGCAGCAGGTGTGGTGGTAGGGGATGGGTCGCTGTGTGCGGCGACGGAAGATGACGTAGAGACGCAGTGGGCGCAGCTTGGCGCCTGTGTACGGTCCGACCGCACACAGGGCCCGTGAACAGCCCTATCAGCACCACCGACAGCCACCATCTCATCACTTTTGCACGGTAGTCCACAGTGGAGTCCTATAGTGAATCAATTCAGACTCCGTGTTAAAGCAAACTTTGTCTCGGCGTCACGATGACTGAGTTTGATCGTTTGGACGATGGATCTTTGTAACATTTCTGTGACACTCGGGAATTCGGCTATATCTCGCGCAGCGCCTAATCATCAGCAATACAATGGTCCCTTTGCTCCAGATTTCAGTCATTGGCCCAAGTTTAGCCCCCCTCCAGTGGCGATATCGGCTCAGTATAATGTCTCACTCTCGTCGCTTTACTTTGGCTTATACTTTCCGCCACCGCTCGGGTCTCTAATTACACCTGCAGTTCATCTGCCGTCCCACCACTGAGTCATGTGTTGTAAATATCTGACCAACGCCACCCCACCTCCCTTCGCCCCACCTCTCATCACCTCGCCGCCCTACTGCACGGGCTCGTGTACGAACGCCTGTCCGGGCGCGGCGAACACCTGCCGGCCGGCGATGTAGGTGGCGCGCACAAACACGTCGTCCGAGAGCATCACAAAGTCGGCGTCAGAGCCATACTCGAGGGTGCCCTTCTGAGCTGTGATGCCCAGCGCGGTGGCAGGGTGCAGAGAGGCCGCCTCCAGAGCCTCCACCGTGGTACACCCTGGCGGCGGACAGAGGAAACTCGTCAGTTTTTTTGTTTTTTGTTTTGTTGGGTTAGGCCCTTTCGGTCTGGTAAGACCATTTCAGAGCCGGGAGGATGATAGGATAAAGGGGGAGACATTGGTCTGGGCAGTAGGGTGGCCCTCTGTATGGGGGTGAAGTTTCAAACGAATAATGTCTATGCTCCAAACCCTGATTCTTGTTCCTTTTGACCCAGAAACGTGCTGTGCAAAGTTTCATTGAAATCGGAATATATTTAACCGGTGCTCAACGACTCTGAAATTTTACTCAGCGAACGCTAGTCACAAGCACTCCGGGTCCCACTCCCACGTTGCTCTCGTGGGAGTATTAGCCGATTTCCTCTCCTGGCGGGGGTTATGTGGTTGCTACTTGCTAGCCACTCATTGTCGCCCGGTCCGTGCAAGCGTTCCCTTCCTGGTGTCCGGGAACTGGCGCCGATGGTCCGCGACGACCTGGACGATGAACTGGAGTTGTTCTTCGTCCTTCGTCAGGAGCCGGTTATACTCCTGAATCAGGGCGACGCCTCGTTCCGCGTGGTCATTGGTGACCGACAGCTTCTCCAGCGCTTTGCACGCCTTGCCGTACGCCTCATCCTTCTTCCAGTCTGCCGGTTCCAACGCCAGGAATCCCTTGTCGATGGACATCTTGGAGAAGAACGAGGACGTATTGGAGGTCACGAAGTCCTCAAGGCTGCAGCCGCTGATCGCTGAAGCGGGAATGGTCACTCGCTTCTGGGCTGTGTCGTTGCCGTCCTTCTCCTCAATCGCCGCTACCATCTTCTTCTTTGTTTCTGATGAAACCCGGTCGTCGAAGAACGCCAGGGCTACCAGCTCTTCCGAGAGGTACCACAGGTGGCCGAGGAGCTTCTTTGTCGCGGCCTTGGAGACCTCCGCGTCCTCGTACCCGTCCAGTGCCTGAAGCAGCTGAAGATCGTTGAGCGGAGCCGCGACAGCAAGTGGGGCTTGCGTCCAGGCTTTGCTGTATGTATGTATGTATGTATGTATTGACACCAAAAGCCTTCCACATATGGCGTGGCGATTACGGCTTAGATCCGAGTATAATGGGTAACAATCATGCGGGCAGGGGGAAGAACACTCAGCACTAGACGACAGTCATCCATCGATGGGGATCGCGGCATAATCATATACATATGTACACAAGACAAACAATATATATATACATAAGCACAAACAGATCGTCCACCAATTGGCGGCATGCCCTGCCTACTACTAAACAGACTCGTCAGCGGCGTAGCGGGGATTTGTTAATCAGCGCGGCCCTGGCAGACCGGGCGAAGCTGGCAGGTGGCAGCTGCACTACCTGGGGTGGGAGGCTATTCAATAGCGCCGCGGCACGGTACTCAAAACGCCGTTTTCCAGTTTCAAGCCTCGGTCGGGGAAGATGAAGGAGATGATCCTGCCGTGTGTGCCTATCTCGAAAATTTTGGTTGGGGACGAACAGTGCAGCGAGGTTCTCGGGCTCTTCATGCTTAATGACCTTTTGCGCGATCGTGAGTGTCAGGTAATCTGACATGGATTTTGGTGATAGCCAGCCAAGTCTGTCACGCAGGTCCGAGACGTGGTCAAACTTACGCCGTCCGAAGATCACTCTAGCGGCAAAGTTCAAAATTTTCTGGAGTCGGTCAAAATTTTTCTGAGTCCCGTTACCGTACACAGTGAGGCAGTAGTTGATCCGTGATATGACAAGAGATGTAACGAGGACTTTAATGACACCGTCAGGGAGACAATTTCGTGCGTGAGACAGTCCGACCAACAAGCCAGTACACCGACGACTAAGCTCGGACACATGTGCTTCCCAGGACAGGGCGCTGTCAAAGACAACACCCAGATTCCCCACCTGCTCGCATGGCTGCAACACAGAGTCACGAAGAGAGACGCTGAAGTCGGGTACTTTCCGTAAATTTTGTCTGCTGCCAAAAACCATTAGTTGAGTTTTGTTTGCGTTTAGCTTGAGGGCGTGAAGACAGAACCAGTCACTGATTGATGCGAGTGAAACTTCCATGCGAGAGATAAGCGATCTGAGGTCGTCGGCACGGCCGCTCACTAGAACCTGGGTGTCGTCCGCATATTGGAAAACGGTGGCGTCACCTGCGTATAGCGAGAGGTTGTTCGAAAATATGGTGAAGAGTAACGGTCCCAGGGCAGATCCTTGGAAGACGCCCATATTATTTGGAAGCGGCCGCGACAGTACTCTACCTCCGGCGCCGTTAGATAGGGACACGCTCTGGGTGTGTCCCGTGAGAAAAGCAGAAAACCAAGTGGTCTCGATCCCGTGCATAGCCAGTTTTTGAAGTAGAAGGTCGTGGTCGATGACATCAAAGCATTTGCTCAAATCAAGGAGACACAGCAGTGAAAGTTCTCCCCTATCAGAGGCTGCGAGGATTTGGTCTGTGACGGACAGCAGAGCGGTCTCTGTGGAGTGTCGGGGGCGAAAACCATGCTGCGAGGAGGCAAGGAGATAGTTATTTGAGAGGTAGTGGTAAAGCTGTTGATGTACAAGGCGTTCCACAACCTTCATAATCACGGGGACTAATGAGATTGGTCGAAAGTTGGTGGGATCTGAGGGGCTGCCAGATTTGAAGATTGGGTGGACTGTGGAATGTTTCCAGGAATCGGGGACATCGGAGTTGGTAATACACGTATTGATAATGTAAAGTATGACGCGACCGATAGCTGAGAAGCCGGACTTTAACATTCGGATGCAAATGCCATCAGTCCCACTGGCGCCTGAGTTGCGCATGCCGAAGATAGTGTGACCGAGTTCGCCGAGAGTGACCGCGCGGAGCTGGAAACGACAAGCACCGACCCGGGGGAGGCGAACGTTCAGATCGGTAGTGGTGTTAAGAGACCGGACCTCCGCAGCGATGCGAGGTCCGACAGAGACGAAAAATGAATTTAGTTCATCGGCGGGTAAATTAGGCTGCACACTAGGACCGTCCTTTTTCCCTGCTACAACTGTCCTGATAGACTGCCAGACCTTATTGGGACCCCGCTCGCAGATATTTCTCTGAAGCTCCTCTCGCCGGTCGCGACGCAGCGCGGCCCGAACAGAGCGATTCAGCTCCTTGTAAGCTGTCGACTGACGACCGGACAGTCGTAGCGAGGCGCGGCGCTGGGACATAAGGTTCCGTGTGGCAGCAGAGGCCGGGGGCGCTGTGGGGTTCCGAATGGTAATACGCTTGAGTGGGGCGTGGTCGTCGATTATAGGCAAAAAATTGGACACGAATGCATCCCACTGATCACTAACAGTCGCGGCGGTAAACACAGGCTCCCAGTCGACAAGCTCCAGATCAGAATTAAGGGCAGTGACATCAACACGGTTGAGCGAACGAGCTGAGATGATTGAGGGCTTCGGACGCAGTTTGGGGACATTGACATCTACGCTAATAAATTTATGCGGACTAAAATGACAAAACTCAACACGGGTGTTAGAGAAGAGGTCCACTTTGTTCACCATACACACGTCTAGGAGCGAACCGGAAGTGAAAGTCGGAGTTGTTACTAGCTGGTCTAGGGAGTAGACCGATAGGAAGCTGCTGAGATGCTGTCGTGCACGAAAGTTGGGTTCTTTCTTCAGCAGGTCACAGTTTATATCACCGCAGATGACGAGCGGGGTCCTAGGGTGATCGATAAGTACTCTTTGTAACTGATTTTCAAGGTCGGCGAAATCGGCACATAAAGCGGTTTCGGAGTGGCGAGGGGGGCGGTATAAAGAACATACGATGAGTTGACGACCTTTGTCGAGCTTGAGCAGCGCCCACTTTGACTCGAGCTGGCTGCAGCCGCGCTCAAAACTTGGGAACTTGATGGGCACTGATGTGATATCCGATTTTGTTGCGATTGCGACGCCGCCGTACCCGCGGCCATCAGGTCGGTCTGTGCGGCTAAGGGAGTAGCCAGGGAGCACTAAAAGTCTGCTGTAGAGGCAGGCGGAGAACATGGCCACCCTCAACAGTCCGCGCTCCTCCTTCGGCGTCAGTTTGACCTGTCCCCTGAACAGCCACACCTTGAGCGAGTACAGCACCTTGCTCATCCACCTAGCGTGGTGCATGGGGCCAGGGGCACGGAAGCGTATTCCGCGGGGAGGTACGCCGCCGAGAAAGATGACGGTTAGTTCCAGAAGTTCCCGGTAGTCGTCCCGAAGGTCTGTCCGCTCTTTCAGGGCCTGAAGGAACCACTCGATGTCGACCTCTCCTGCTCCATCCTCGATCGGCTGGAACTCGCCTTGGTTGATGAAGGGCCACCTCTCCTGGAAACGCTTGAACAGCAGGACAGCAGGCCCTGTAGTTGGCCCCATCACCGACGTCGGAAGACCGCCTCGATCACGAGCTCGAGAATGTGGTGCCGGCAGGCGAGGTAGAGGAGGTCGTTCTTCGGCTGCTGCTCAATCAGGGTACACGCCCCGTTGTGGCGACCCGTGTTGGCGGCGTTGGTGTCAAAGGACATCCCCACGACCCGGTCAGCGACGCTCCACTTATCCAACGCCTCCACGACGGCCTTCGCTTCATTCGCCCCTCTTCCACTGGGAAGCTTCGCCACCTGAAGCAGCTGAACCTCCCCTCCCCCAGACACGAGGATGGGCAGGCGGTCGACGTGGACGTTGCTGGTGAGATCTGGCATCAGCTTCCCGTCCCAGTGGACTACCAAGGGGCCAAGGGGCATTTGTCACCGACAAAGCCCCTGTATCGTTGAACGTGAAAATGATCTTAAATAGTAAAATTTTAAGGTCGTTGAGCACTGGGTAAATATTATTCGATTTATATAAAAAAATACTCGCGTGGTTTTCTCATGGAGTGGAACAAGAATCCGGGTTTGGAGACTGGATTTTCAAACTTTCGAAAATAAAGGCCACCCTACTGGGCAGGCACCCTAGTGAGTCGCCGGGGCTGAGCCCGTCCAGAGGACAGGCCACCCAGCCCCAAGGCACTCACTGCACCCGGCTACGGGGTGCGCTCCCTCGGGAGCAGCGGTGCCGCTCCAAGGGAGCAGCCCGCATGAGATAAAGTTGCCTGTCCAGCCCGGAGGGGGGGTTGCGGCGTGGAGGAGAAGGATTTCAGTATCCTGAGGATAGAAGCATGGAACGGTGTGAAACTCGTCAGTGGCGACCGTGGTAGGTATATATGTTACGGTCCGTTTGAAAACGCGGCCCGTATTGATACTGCCCGGCCCGTATCAATACTGACCGGAGGGCCGGCCCGTATTGATACGGGCCGGTCAGTATCAATGCGGGGCGCCTCGCCGGTCGGTATCAATACGGACCGGGCAGTTTTAATACCGGCCGGGCAGTATCAATACAACCCACTTTTTGCCTCACGGCCATATCAAAACTCGGGCCATATCAAAACTAAGCAAATAGTATGTCTCCATTCCATGTATTAGCACTGTAGGCCTGCAGTGGACGCCCACATCAATTTTACACATGGTGTGCAAGTTTGAACCTCCTTCATTCTAAGGTCAGGTCACCAGGTCACTTAATGACCCGACCTCAAATCACTTTTTAGCAACCTTGCTACCGTGTCAGAGCTACAATAGATGACGGAGCACCTTGAAAGTTACAGGATGTGATGAGGCCATCGTTAGCTATACCTAACTTGTATATCTGGGAATTTTTATATCGATGGCCTAAGGTCAGGTCAATTTCGTGACCTCCCCATTATAAGTCAACGGGGAAAAACCAACTGCCTTATTTTTGCACTGAAACGAGTCGTAATGATGGCCTATTATTCCTCACATGACTTCATTTAACCCGCGCACCGACGGGGGTCTGCGCCAACTTAGAACCGACGAGGGGGGGGGGCGGATGACCCCCCTGACCCCCATGACCCCCTGAGATCTCAAGAACGAAGCAAGATAGCGACAAGCGGTAAACAGCATGGTCTACGCACGGACAAGGTCTACAATTTTTACTAAGGTCATTTTCAGGTCAGGTCAAAGATGACGTCACAGGGGTAAAAAAAAAGTAAAACAAAAGGCGGCGCTAGATATGGAGGGAGTTTTTCTCGATTAACTTTCAAATTGGTCAAGCTAGGAACAAACTAAGGGCACCATCGTGATCTTCTCGTTAATACGCATCGAACCATATATATGTTGACCTTAAAAGGTCAAGGTCAAACGTCGACCTCAGGTCACGTGACCTCGTGGTCATCGTGTATATCATTCGACGAGCTGAACACAACGAGACCATCCGCGCGGCTGTATCTTGTTCCTGTAAGGAGTTATTGGCAAAAAAAAAACTTTGGTGACCTTTGATGACGTCACATGACCTTACAGCTGCCTAACAGCAAAACAGGCCTCAAGGCTCAAGGTAGTGAAGGTTGATCGTACCTATATGAAGTCATGTATGGTATATGGGGCCATTCTTACAGGTTTAGTGGAAAAACAGGGAGTTTATCCCCCCCCCCCCCATTGACTTATAATGGGGAGGTCGCAAAATTGACCTGACCTTAGGTCATAGATATCAAAATTCTAAGATATACATTTTGTACATGCTATTGCTCTTAGCAATCAAGTTTCAAAGCGATCAGTCACTCGGTGTAGCTATGGCAGACATTGAAACTTTTTATGAGGTGAGGTCACTTCAAGTGACCTGGTGACCTGACCTTGAATGACCTTGGTCTGAAATTTTCACAACATGTGTAGAATTGATGTATAATAAGGTGTACCAAAAACGGCGGCGCTCCGTGCCGACGTGGTTGGCAAATATTCTTGTGCATGTGGCTACAAATTTTATTAGTTAGCCACATACATGAGCTTGTATTCAGAGCTTAAATATTGACATTGCAGGAAACAGAGAAGTTTTTGAACTAAAAGGTGGGCAGAATTGATACTGCCCATCTAAATCGGCCGTATCAATACCGACCGGCGAGGCGGCCCGCATTGATACTGACCGGCCCGTATCAATGCGGGCCGGCCCTCCGGTCGGTATTAATACGGGCCGGGCGGTATCAATAGTGGCCGCGTTTTCAAACGGGCCGTAACATATACACACAGGACTGCTACTTAAGCTTCCATGTTTACCAAAACAATCGTGCTATACATTTGGACAAAGAGGTTAGAAATATAAAGGTCCTGTAGGGAACAATGATGTCAAGGTCATACTCGTCACTCGATAGTGAGAATAAAGTAGTTCTGGCTTGAGAGATAACATACAGCTAACGACCGTCCGCTGTATGTAAATTAGTCAGTGGTAAATTACGTGAACACACAGACGCTCGAACCACAAGATTCGTATGCCACGCGAACAAAACGTGAACAGAACGCAGGATCCCGGCGCTGGTTTTTATCAAACAGCCGATCGCCGCCACAAAAACTCAGTTGTTTATGTTTTTAGGCTGGGCCAGCCAGAGTAGAGCCTGCTCACACAAATGATCTAGTGCCTTCGGCAGCCAGTCATATGTGTGTTTTAAGTGTGGGATAGAATGCTTATAACATTCAAAACTGGTTAAAAATGACGACGAGCTTTGCAAGATCGCTTTAGTAGCAAGTAAATTTCGCACGTTCCAGTTGAGCATTCAAACTAAGCGCGCTTGCTGATTAACCGTCCCCATTCATGTCACAGTTCGAGCCAGGATATGGGCTATTGCTGCCACCGGCAGCTGTTACATTGACCCTGATCAGCGCGCTCGTGCCGCGGCCGAGCCAGCGCGCCCACCGAGCCGCACCGGGCCCGGTTTTTAGTCCGGCCGGACCGGTCGGTCACGTTCGCAGTACCGAGGCGACCGGAGGGTGAGGTAATAAAACTGATTATGGAGGCAGTCGCAGAGCAAACAACGCACTTACGGCGTCCGAAGAGCCGATTTGAAGGAACGTTGCCAAAATCACCCGGAAAATCGAACGGCATAACAGGGTGTGGCTTATTTCTCTGCCGGTTACAAAAATCTAAGATTCTTTATATCGCAATTTGTACAAGCAGCTAGCAGGGCTGACAGCAAAGTAGACACTTCCCTCATGTAATAAAAATGCAAGCAACAAACACTACCTACTTTTTACCATCGTTATGACTGGCAGGTTGAGTTATAGCCGTGTCTTATTGAAAACATGTGCATTTTTTGTAGGTAGCAGCACGCCAATGGTAAGTACTCTACTGTCTGGGCCGGCAAGACCAAGTAAGAGGTACTAAGGACCCACAGACTGCCAGTGGTCGGTACTGTCACCGTCAGAGTGCCGCAGTGACCGCGCTACTCACTGGCCGAGTGCATGAAGTGTCGTATGCAGCCGTCCATGGTGACGATGGAGCCGCAGAGGGTGTCCGTGCCCTCGATGAGCGCCCGTTCGCCCTCAATGACCACGTCCATGTCGCCGATATGGTGGCGGCCCGAGCCGAGACCCATCGGCGCCACGGCGTCCGTCACCAGACACAGACCTGAGGGGGGGGGGGGGGGAGGGAGGAAGTCTGTCACCAGGCAGAGACCTGAGGGAGGGGGGGGGCGTTTCAGTCAGAGAGAGGCCTGGGGAGTGGAGGGGGGTCCGTTACAGTCAGACACAGACCTGGTGGAGGGAGAGAGTCGTTACAGTCAGAAACAGGGCTGGGGAGTCCGTTATCAAATCTAAAAGCATGGGAAGGGAGTCCGTCACCAGTCAGGCACAGGTCTGGGAAGAGGGAGTCCGTCACCAGGCACAGACCTGAGGGGGGGGGGTTCAGTCAGACAGGTCTGGGGGGAGTGGAGGGGGTCCGTTACAGTCAGACACAGGCCTGGTGAGGGGGGAGTTCGTTATCACTTATCATATACAAGTTTGGGAGGGGGAGTCCGTCATCAGGCACACGCACAGGACTGTGGGATTAGAGGGAGTCCGTTATTAGACACAGTTCTGGCACAGGGAAGGGAGTCCGTTATCAGACACAGGTCTGTGGGATTAGAGAGAGTCCGTTATCAGACACAGTTCTGGGACAGGGAAGGGAGTCCGTTATCAGACACAGGTCTGTGGGATTAGAGGGAGTCCGTTATCAGACACAGGTCTGTGGGATTAGAGGTAGCCCGTTATCAGACACAGGTCTGTGGGATTGTGGGATTAGAGAAGGTCCGTTATCAGACACAGGTCTGGGACAGGGAAGGGAATCCGTTATCAGACACAGGTCTGTGGGATTAGAACTGCCATTAGTAACAAACGGTATTTGTCACACATTTGTCACACACCGTCACACTCGACAGTTCGGTCCGGTCGGCGGTGTTCAGTTAATGTCAGAGTGATGTGTGATGGAAATGCGATCCCAGCAGGCAGACAGCTGCGGAAGATACCGGTTACAGACTCACCACTCACCAGAGCCTGTGGCCAGACACAGACCTGTAAAGACGCGTACCATCACCACACCCGGGCCTACGTGGTGTATTAGCACTGCATCACTGAACCTAAACCTAGACAGTCACCTCGTGTCAGTCTCTCCAAACGCCACAATCTGTTACAGGACCGAAGTTACCTGCTAGGAGCGCGGCGTGGCATGGGGGTGGACATAACCGGGGTTCGGAGACCGTACCCCTACAGTTAAAATACTGAATGACATTTTAGACTTTTCCTCACTTCAATCTGGCGGAGATAATGCACGAGTTTTGCTTACATGAGAGACTCAAGCTTTAGTCGGGACTAAAACTTGATATCCGTCGACCTCAGTTTATTCTTTCGGGCCAGGCGGATTTCTAAAGGACCCACGGGCGACCGTTGCGGACCCACCGTTCGGGTGCGTCTTGTAGGCGATCCGCAGCGCGGCCGGGTGCGTGTGGATGCCGTCCGAGATGATACCGTAGTAGAGCTCGTGCAGCGGCAGCCTCTTCGACGTCAGCATGCCGATGATACCCGGGTCGCGGTGGTGGAACTGAGGACGGAAACGTGGCCTTTCCGTGAGCACTTAACATACTAGGAGGACGTTTGTGTGCTACTTAAAACACACTTCAAATACGTCTAGTTACCTGTGTAAAAAGGGCCCTGGTAGGCTTCATTCAAAAAGCTTCATTACGTCTTTTAACCAAGGAAGAAGAGTGTACATAGTTTTCTGAATGCTAGCGACAGACAAAACAAATTACAACAAATTATCAGTCACCATTGCTGAGTGCTGATCATCACAGGTCTAATAGCCGCTATGCGATCGAATCACCTACCGCATGGACGTTTAGTCACCCAAATCACAGCTGCTACCAGCCGCCGCCGTCCCCCCCCCCCCCCCGTGCCACCCACCTTGGTCATGGCGTTAAACAGGTGCGTCATGAACCGGGCGCCGCTCTTGAAGGCGCGCTCGCCGTCCATGATGGAGCCAGCCGAGTGACCTGTTACCGACAAACGAGGGATGGGTCACGGGCACTGCGTATAGTCACTGGCGGGGTACGGTGAATTATGGTTCTCATGAGCAAGTGAAACATATTGTAATGTGAGGTACCCCACAGTTTACTTATTATAGACCAAATAACAAACAAATACGGCTTAAATTAGCTTTTCCTTCTTGAGCAATACGATACGACAGATTACGATACGAAAGGAATAACTCGATGAAAGAACGTTTATAAGAATGAACATGGCATATAGCGCCTGGAGTTCAAAAGCGGTTCGCTCTCGTCCTCACTGACCAGTGGAGACGACGATGCCTCTCTCGGTGAGCCCCTCGACGGCGTCACAGGCGTTCTCCAGCTCGGGCGCCAGCGTCACCATGGCGACGTTGTCCAAACAGCCGTACACCTCCTTCACCGTCTCAAAGCCCTGTCGCACGCAGGCCGAGCTTAGTGGGCAAACGATTGAAGAGAACTGCCACCAACCGCTCTAAGCAAACAAGCCAGGGTTGGCAAGTTTATGCCACCGGCCGGTATTAACCGGTTTTAACCGCGTCAAAAACTGACTGGCATAAACTAGTTTATGCCACCTGCCGGCATACGCTGGCATAAAAAAACATTTTCGCCATTTACGCAGTTTTGGTCGCGGTCCCAATTTTAAGCTTTTGTTCTGAATTTAGCCCCCAGATAAATCATAAAGCTTCTTGAAATTTGAACAATATCAATTATAACTTATAAACAAAGATGAGAAAATATGCATATTGATGACCATTCCATCTGATAATTAGGAAGGTAAGAAGGCATATCTCAAACTGAAACAATAGCCGATCTCAAACGGAGCTTTGAGTGGGCAAGCCAACATTCATATGCAAAGTTCACATGAAACCTTGAAACCATGAAAGTATGATATTTTACTAGAGAAAAATACATTTTTATACTTTTGCCAGTTTCTGTCAGTTTATGCCAGTTTTTGCCGGCATAAACTGGCATAAACCGGTTTTTGCCACTGACTGGCATAAACGCAGTTTATGCCGGCATTTTGCCAACCCTGAAACAAGCCAGTGCCGATTCTGGTTGTTGTATATCGATCCATTGCAATACACATCCCCCTTCCTCTGTACCTTTTCCAGTGGCCGAATGTGCTGCACCAGGTGAGCGCCCGTAATCAATCTACATCTCCCAACCTTCTCCCCCTCCCAAACTTCCCCAGTGATCTGATGTTCTACCCTCTCCCCCTCCTCACCTTCTCCAGCGGCCTGATGTGCTGCACCGGGTGGGCGCCCTTCTTCTCTCTGCTGATGAACGGACCCTCTAGGTGCGCGCCGAGAACCCCGGCGCCATCCTCGCCGCCGGGCCGCTTGTTCAGGCGGGGCAGGACCTGTGACGACGGGGTGACGGGTCAGTTGAGGGTCAGGTCCTGGCGGGGTGAACGAGATCGGTAGCGAAGGCCGTTATCGGGTTAGATAAATGAATTCGGTATATTACATTATAGTTATCTGCAGCTTGATGTGTAACATCCTGGTCGGCATCGATATAAGAAACGAGCGATGGAAATTTAGAACATGACACATCCGTTTCAATGCACCCGATTTCGAGTCTTTGTTCGGAAAGTTTCCGCCTTGGATCACACCGCACGTGATTTTTTACATCTACGGTCGATGATGCAACGTTGTATCATGTTCTCTGTTTAGGGAAAACCGTCGGGAGGGGACGGGAGGGGAGAGGGAGGGCGACAGCCTCCGGCTGTGTTAGTTGGAAGTCGGGCGGGCGGACGAAGGGCATACGATCCGGGGGTTTCACGATACTACGCTATCCGGTTACCGGTCATGTCGGGGGGGGGGAGGCGGCTGCAGTGTGGCTGGAGTCATTGCCATGGGCGGCCAAATGGATGTCGTGTTGGCGAAATGGATAGATGAGACGACGTCCTTCAGTCAAAATGTATGTACGCAGTATTAACACAAGTTTTAACGCAGGTGACCTTATTTAGATCACCGCCGGGTCCTCAACTAGATAAAATGTGCGGCACAATAATCTTATAATGTAGCTAGCACCTATTTCGTATATGACCAAATCGTGGATTGCTGTTTCGTTCTTTCAATCTGTTGACATATCCTGTGCACCCTGAACAACCAGCCAACCATGAGTAGCACAGTCTGCCTGGTCACCATTTTGTTATGTCTCCACAGCTCTACGATCTCCTCGTTATCAGGGTTACGTTTCGTCACTTCCCGGCTGTATCTCATTCGTGGTCTTCCGGCGCATGGTCAAAGAGCAATGACGGCCGAATGGGGCTTTCGCAAGTCTCTGAGCTACCTTACTCAAATAACAGGCGTTAGAGACAGGTTATTAGGGACAATTTGTTCGGAACAGACGACGGACGAACACGCTGTGTACCTGGGATAGGTTTCGAAGTTCGAACTATGTCATAACATAACAACGCAGTCGCCACCAGCGCATAAGAAGAGTGCAGGCCACTCTCTGTCGTTTGACGTTTTCTATAGAGATGAGTGATTAGCAACACTGCGCTCGGTTTTCAGGCAACCGTGCCTGGCGGCCAGAGTAGTATGGTCGATCACTGACGACGGGCCAGTAACTGAACTTACGATACAGGACACTGTCCGACCCGCCACAGACCTAACGGTACCTTTGTCTCATGTGGAGGTGACCAGTGGCTAGTCACTGACCTTGCGGTACGTCTCCGGGAGGGAGGGGGGTGGAGATGACCAATGACCTAACACTGACCTTGCGGTAGGTCTCCGGTGTGGAGGTGATGACTGTTGGCAGGAATGACGTCACGCCGTGCGCCAGCAGGCCCCGCGCCACCACCGACACCGCCTCCTCGGTCTTGTCCTCGTCAAACGAGAAGTCGTAGCCGAATCCGCCTGCACGCAGTCAAAACGAGACATCATAGCCGAATCCGTCTGAGCACAGAAGCACGATACATGATAGCCGAATCTACCTGAGCACAGAAGCACAGCGCATTCAGGCCACCGCCGGGAAGTGGGACGAGCTGCACGGGCGTCAGGCAAATAGAGATATCGATAAAACCACTTGGACAGTGAGCAGCGGCGGGAGTACGAGTTCGGTCAAGATTTCGGTTTACATAAGTCGTGAAACAGAGCTTGCGGACAATTGCAATGATGGCATGTTGTAGGCTATCTAATGTCTATAGGTCCACGTTTGTCAGAAAACGAACGAAATATCGAACCTTCGTATACCGGCAGAGTACCGACTGGACACTACACAGCTGACGCAACCCAAACATGAAATCACCCACATGAGATTTGCTCTAGCATACCGCCCTATCTCGTGCCCATTCCGTACGCCGTTGAAAGGTCCGCACCGTTGATCTGGACATCGATGAAGCCGGGAGCGACGATAGATCCCCGGCAGTCGACTTGGAACGCCGGAGGTCTCTTCTGCACGTAGAACAGCTCCTCTGGGTTGATGATGTGGCCATTCTCCACCCAGAGGTCCTCTCTGACCAGCTCGTGGTCCCGCAGGATCCGACAGTTCTTGAACTGAGTCACTGGCATGGCGTCAGATACCTGAAAAGGCACGGAGGGGTCAAGTCAAGGGCACATTTACAGTAGTAAAAGGTGTGGCATTGAAAAACTGCTTTACGGTGAAGAACTAGCTGAGAATCGTTAAAAAAAAAATCAAGTAAGAAGTAATTGTGCCGTGCCAAGAAACAAACTGAGAAATGAAATTGAAACGTGCAGCGTGGGCAAGGACAGTGCAGTTAATGTCATATCATATCACCGATAATCCGATACACGAGGAGCGCATGAGAGCGGCAGGGACTTGCAGGGAAAATTAGGGGATGTTACCTTTTCTGGTTTTCCTCCAAGCAGTCAGCAATTATCGAAACTGACACTTCCGTAACCAAAGTGTAACTCAGAAGACCAGCAGCTGTTTTGTTTAGAAATTAGCTATTGTCACAGGTGCACTATAAATGAAGAACGAATAATAACTTCCATATGAAGGAATTCCGCTGCTTATAAGAGTGAAGGGAAAAGTTGTCGTGCACAACTTCACTGAGTCAGCTGGTGACACCCTTGCTGAACGTTCAGAGAAAGACTCTGCGCTGTTTGTCTCCCTGGTCAAAGACGTCATGAAAGTGAATGTTGCAGGCCCATGTCGTCCCCTATCTCTCTGCGTGTCCACTAACACGAATGACGTCACGCATGTGGGCGGAGCTATGGGCGGAGCCTAACGCACGCGGCAGTCCAAGCCGCCATATTTGAATTTTTATTTTAATAGAATCTTGCCGATATTTTGGGTGAAGTCAATTTATATGGATAGCTTGGTGACAGTTTAGCTATACGAATAATAATTTATTATGGATGTGCGTATATTCAGCTTGGAATTGCAATTAAAGTTCCGCACCGCATAGATTCGAACTCGGGACCTTTGGAATACTGCGCGGGCACGCTAACCACTACACTACCGCGACCGCGCGGCGGCCGGCGGCAGGGAGGCTGCGGAGACATGGGGGGACATTTTACGCTTTTGTGAAAAAAGCAAAAGATTTAGCGAAAAACACGTAATAGATAACTTGCAGAAAATTGTCTGCTCTTTTAGGTAAGATACTTAAGTTTGATATATCTTGTGCAGACTTCATTCTACAGTGCTTCGAAAATCGCTCATTTACATGGGGATTGAACGGGGCTTCGAGACTTGACTCCAAATGACGTCACGAGCTGACGTCACGGAAAGGTAGAATCGCCGGACGACCCTACCTGGTATATAGGGCCTTGGAATGTTGCTGTAACACGATCCTTCAGAGTGGGAAAGAAACTCCAAGACAGGCCCAGACTCCTGATCGTGACCCTGGCTAACCCCTCTGCTAGGCGTGATGTACTTCAAGGAGCACCCCAACTGCGCCACTCAGAACAGTACAGCAACATCTATCTGACCCCAGACCTGACCCGGGATGAGCGGGAGGCAGGAAGAAAGCTGAGAGAGGAACTGGCAGCAAGGAAGATGGCAGGGGAGACCAACCTTTTCATAAGAGGTGGTCGAATTGTCTCACACAGCCTGGGCCAAGAAAAGGTGGTACCCAAGGAGCAGGCCAACAATGACTGTGCAACTGCCCCAGACAACCATATCAGTGAGAGCACGCCCAGTCGGGAACAGCCAGGAAACATCACACCTGTAACAGCAGCTACAAATGTTTCTAGCCATGCCCGACCAGTGAGGCCTGCTGCTGCTTTCACAGAGACATCTGCCACAAATGTTTCGAATGATGCTCACCCAGCAGAGTCAGCCGCTGCTGGCTCAGGGACAAACAAGAAAACACAGTATCACAGCAAACAACCAGCTCAATGACTAAATGGGGAGGCGGCTGGAGGAGTAACGCAAGGGCTTAAGGTATTGTATACCAACGCAGACCAATTTGTAAGCAAACGAGATGACATGGCCATGCTTATCTGCCAAGATGAGCCAGACATCATCCTCATTACAGAAGTGATTCCAAAAGCTCAGCGGCTTCCACTGTCGCCTGCACTGCTGAGCCTGGCTGGCTATGTACTTTACACCAACTTTGACCCATGCTCCCCCAACCTTGGTACCAGTGGTATGAGAGGGATCTGTGTGTACACAGCTGAGACCCTCAAGGTGTCCGAAGTCACAATTCAGTACCAGTCCTCCGTTGAACATGTGTGGATCAAGATGGCACTTGCTGGCAGTGACTGCTTACTCATCGGATGCCTTTACAGGAGTCCATCAGGAAACACTGAGGAGAGCATCAGAGAAGCTGAACAGTTAATTTGCACATCATCAAGGTCCATGCCATTCACACATCTCCTGATTGTTGGTGACCTGAACCTGCCGCAGATAAACTGGGACAGTGGAACATCATCCGCCCCTCTCTCTCATGGTTCTCACTCATTTATCAACACTGTTCATGAATGTTTCCTGTTCCAACATGTACTAAGCCCAACAAGATACCGACCAGGCGAGACCCCAAACACCCTCGACTTGGTCTTCACTAACGAGGAAGGCATGGTCTCCAACCTGGAATACCTCCCCGGCCTGAGCAGCAGTGACCACGTCATTCTCAGATTTACTCTGGTATGCTACTCTCCAAGGAACTTAAACCAAGCATCTCACCATGTAGTCATCGACTATGGAAGCCTCCCCAAGGAATTGGAGGAGTGCAACTGGTCGCAGCTGGCAAACATGAACATGGAAGAATCCTACGCCACCTTTAAAGAACAATTATCAGCTGCTGTTGCTCGATGCTCGAAACGGAGGAAGAACGGACAGAAAAAGAACATGTACTTGAACAGGACAGCTATGCAGCTACGAAAGCAAAAGAGGGAGCTGTGGAGCAAATACCGTCAATCCGGCGACGCCCTGGATTACGCCAGGTTTACGAGATGCAGAAACAGGCTCAGAAAGTTCACAAGGTATCTCAGAAAAGAATACGAAACCAAGTTAGTTGAACAGCTGAAGCAAAACCCAAAAGCGTTCTGGAGATACTCGAACTCAAGGCTGAAAACCAGAAGCAGAATCGAGGAACTCCGGGACGTAAACGGGACCCTGACATCCGACAACCAAGAAAAATCGGATCTGCTGAGCAGGTACTTCAGCAGCATATTTACGCCAGTTGACCATTCCTGCCCTCACTTTGACTTAGGTTTCCAGGGACCCATGCTGCAAGACATTGAAGTGTCTGCTGAGGAGGTAAAGGCAAAACTGCTCGCTCTAAGGCCTAACAGTGCCCCGGGCCCAGACGCCGTGCACCCCAGGGTACTTCGCGAAGCTGCCTCGATGGTTTGCCTTCCACTCAGTGTCCTGTTCAGGAAGTCTCTTGACTCTGGTATACTGCCACCAGACTGGAAGACAGGTGAGATTACTCCCATCTACAAGAAGGGGAACCGCCAGAGACCAGAGAGCTACCGGCCAGTCAGTCTCACCTCGGTCCCATCGAAAGTTATGGAATCCATCATTCGCGACCGCCTCCTTCAGCACTTTTCTGATGCAGGGCTCCTCCACAAGGCACAACATGGGTTTCTCCCGAAGAGATCCTGCTCGACCCAGCTGCTTGAGGTGATGGAGGACTGGAGCGCTGCTGTGGAGGCCGGGGAACCGATCGATGTCGCATACCTGGACTTCTCCAAGGCCTTTGATTCTGTCCCGCACCAACGTCTCATCACGAAACTACATGGCTATGGCATCAGGGGAAAACTGCTGGTTTGGATCGCCGCCTTCCTGCTCGATCGCCGACAGAGGGTGGTCGTCGGAGGTGCGAAGTCCGACTGGACTCCGGTGACCAGCGGAATCCCCCAGGGATCTGTGCTCGGGCCGATCTTGTTTAATATATTTGTGAATGACATGCCTGGTCAGGTCTCCGGCTGCATCAAGCTCTTCGCCGACGATACCAAATTGTACCGCCACGTGACTGGAAACTCCGCCGAGTTCCAAGCCGACATCGACGCCCTCGTCCGCTGGTCGAGCAAGTGGCTGCTGCCCTTCAATGCTTCAAAATGCAAAGTGATGCACATTGGCAGACTCAACCCTGGGAGAACCTACCGACTGAACGACTCTGCCATCGAGGGAGTTACGGAGGAAAAGGACCTGGGCATCATCATCGACGAAGACCTGAAGTTTCACCAGCAAACAGCGGCTGCCATCGCGAAAGCCTCCCAGATGCTGGCTGTCGTGAAGCGCTCCTTCGCTACCATCAATGAGGTCACTCTCCCTCTGCTCTACAAGTCCATGGTCCGACCTTTTCTGGAGTATGGGAACCTGATCTGGGGACCCTTTGGCAGAGTTGACCAGGCAAAACTGGAGCGGGTGCAGCGCAGGGCAACCCGGATGGTTCTGAGCATCCGGCATCTCCCGTACCCGGACCGACTACGTCATCTTCGCCTCCCCTCGCTGTACTACCGACGACGCAGAGGCGATATGATCACCGTCTTTCAGCTGCTGCACGGCGAGATGGCAGTGGAACCCGAACGGTTCCTGCACAAGAGCACCTCCAACCAAACAAGAGGCCACCAGTGGAAACTGCTCAAGCCCAGAGCGAACACCCTGACACGAAGAAACGCCCTCAGCACAAGAGTGGTCAACGACTGGAACGCCCTGCCGTCCACAGTAGTGTCTGCCACATCGGTTGTTCAGTTCAAGGCACGACTGGACCGACACTGGGCGAACAAGATGTACGACATCCCGAATCCCTACCATTAAGAGCCTCGCCTTTACCTGTCACACACGCTCGATGGGAGCGGGACCTCCAGGCCTAGTGGCCTTATTACCCGATAACCGATAAGGTAAGGTAAGGTAAGGTAAGTTTCTCATCATGTCAAATGGTTTAATGTTTTTATAATTGTATTTTGCGACATTTATATACAATAACTTAGGAAAAATATTTTTTTTGTATTCAAAATGATCGAAAAAGGAAGAAGATTAAAAAAACAAAATAATTGTAAAGGAAGTTTTTTTTTTCAATATGGTAGCGTAGCCCTTCAATTCCCTTTCCAGATTCTCCGGCACAAGTGTGTGTTGCTGTGTATTGAAGGTGGATTTGGATGAGGAGGTAGTTTGGTGCATTTTTATTAATTTGGTGAACTTAAAGCACGCATAACGTTTGATTTTTCAAAAGGCCTTTGATAAAATTACAGGTATCAGCAGTTTGTATTCGTCCTATGTTTTATTGAATTGTTGTTTTAATGCTCAACTTGATGCTGTCACCGCCGTGCTACAATGTTAATTGTATATTTCATCCCTGCATTAATCAATCTTTTGACCATATCATCAGTATTATAATGTTTTTCTTTGCATACAGTGGTACTGTGGTACCAATGACAGTTACGGAGGATCATACCAAGCTGCGAATAGACTGGCGGCATAGTCATGGCAGCAGGGCACGCCCTTCAAATTTATCCTGTTTTGCTTGTTTTTTGTCTTATGGGATGAGTGGGTGGTTGCAGGGCTGGATGCTATTCTAGGCAGCTGTTTTATAAATGTAATACAACAGGTACCCAATTGCACTAAAGGCACAGGGCTCAAGTGCCCTGCGGTCACAGTCACAGCAGTTCCATTGTTCTGGAGTTACAGCTATGAAGCCTTATTTCAGTTGGGTAGAAACCCTTTTGTAGCTATGGCTGGTGACAAATGTGTCACAGATCTTTTGATCAACTATGGCAATATCCTTCCACTGGAGTCACGGTCCTCTCAGGCACTTGGTCAGGGCGTTTATATAGCCTTGATCAGGGCCCATATCTTGCCTCTGCTGGGTAGCGGTTCACCAGTGATAAGTTGTAGTTTTGATAGAAAATTATAAAGAAAGTTTTTACTTAGATTTAAAGTAACTTATTCCATTTTCCTATTCCATTTTCCTATTCCTATTCCTTTCGTTTAGTCCTAACTCCTATTTCATTTGTTTCTGCTGTAATGACAATAATTACCTATTTGATTACTGATATATATCATATTCTATAGTGATGGTAGATAAAAATATGTAGCTGATGGTTTCTGTTTGGAGAGGCAGAAAGGGCCTTTCTTTTTCAACCTTTCTCTGCTTTTCTTTATTCATTTATTCCTGTCTTCCTATAGCCCTTCCTCTTGCTCTCCATCTACCTCCAAGCCTTATTTTCCCTGGCCCTGGTCCTTTTATTCCTTCTCCCTCTTGACTTTATCTCCCCTTTATCTCTTTTTCTCTCTTCTTCTGTTCTCTTTTCATTTCTCCATTTTCTATTTTATCTAAGTTTTCCCTGCCCCACTGGTTCTGACTCCTCTTTTCAATTCCAAACTAATTTTGTTTGCTGATAATGACAAGTTATGACCAATTTTTAATGTTTCAGATACCTGCTGTTTTCAAACTATCTGCAAAAATGTCTGTATCATCAATATATCTCTTAGACTCCAAAGGGAAGGTAAGAATGAATATTTGTTGATATATTTATCTCTTTATTGAATTGGCTCACAAGTCACAAGTCCATCACTCATTGTTGGTTCAGTGTTAGCACTCATGAGTCATGTCTGCTGCAGGCTGTTTCCCTCAAAGCCAAACTCACCATGCTGTCTTACAAATGCCAGACTCCAGGTTTGCTCTGTTTGGTTGTCAAGTTACAAATTATCTTGTATGATGTTAAACCCAGCTGCTGCTTTTACTTGAAGTTATTTGACTTTAATACAGTACTTTGCTATTGGTCCCTGACTCATAATGGCACCCTCTTATGCTTTGCTTCAGGTACTAATATCCAGGAACTACAGAGGTGACATTGAGCCCAGTGTTATAGACAAGTTTATGTCTCTGCTTTGTTGGCCCTTACTCATGACATTCTCTATCCTTTGCTTCAGGTACTGATATCCAGGAACTACAGAGGTGACATCGAGCCCAGTGTTATAGACAAGTTTATGCCCCTGCTAATGGACCGAGAAGAAGAAGGGAACATGTCACCGATTATACAGGTAGGTGACTACTGAATTGTGTGGTTGCTGACATTTAATTGACTTCCTATACTGTTTCATTGCATTTGTTGGTAATTATTTCCATTGTGCTGACTTTCCATTCAGCTCACCTTTCCCATAAATCCATTATTTTTCGGTAATTATTAAAAGTGTCACCAGGCACAGCATTAATTTTGTGTCAAATATAATTTTATCTGACATTTCTTACCTTTCCCTGCAATATTGTATCATACCTAATAATCAGTAACAAGCCCTATAGGGCGACAAACGAGCGAGTGCGAGAATGCGAGCGAGCCCTACATGTACGGAAGTGGTACCCTAAACTGACTGACTTGTGTGGGCCACCCTACCAACTGGTCCCTAATAGAGACCAAATTTGAGCGCAATTGACCCAGCCGTTTCCTAGTCCTACCTATATGTAGTAGCGTCTAGCGATACCCTGCGTGAGCGCACGCGCAAACCGGACGCCAGCTGACTTGTTCGTGGCACCGTTTGCTAACGCCTAACGGTGTTCAAAATTTATGCGCGATCGGCCCAATCGTTCTCGACATGTGGCGAATTCTGCTGAACGACTTAGCTTTGCACTTGCTCGTAATAATTCCCCAATACAGCGACCAGTTCCCTGTGAATTTTGATTCCCTATGTATTTCCGTTTCAGACGAGTGGCTGCACGTTCATGTACATCAAGCACAGCAACGTGTACGTGGTCAGCACGACGCGGAAGAACGCCAACGTCAGCCTGGTGTTCGTGTTCCTGCACCGCCTGGTTCAGGTGAGAGTGGCAGGATGGCCCTGTCGGGGGGGGGGGGATGAATGCACATTGCACAAATCTCCGGTGCAGGTGATGGCTACGTTTGCTCATTCAGCGACTCATTCAGTCATATATTCACGTTATTATATTTTCGGTCATGGGCGCGGCTTTTCATCAACGGAATGCACAACTTGTAAAATAATAAGCTGTGTTGTGTTGCTACGCTGCTGGTAGGTATGCTGAATAGTTTGACAGTAAATGACGGTCTGCCAGACTGGTGGTTTCCTCGTAAGTACTTCTGCACCAGCTGGGACTGACGTGAATGATGAATTTGTGATTGAAAGCTTTAAGTGTGCGTGTATTGTTCAAGTTCAAGACGATAACAACGAAAAGTCACATATTCAGTGGCTTTTCTGATCTCGTAATTTCAACTGATAAGCTGTCGGGAAAGCTTCATTTCCGCTTGACGCTCGGATAGCCGCGGCAACATAGGCTCTCTTAACGCCTAATTCAGATCCCTATTTCTTCGACATGCGTCCTAATCAGGCCCACCTGCTCACTCCTTCGGCTCTCTCCCCTTGCTCTTTAACACCGATCTGCTTACTGTCAGGTATTTGAGCACTACTTCGGTTGACACTGGGCCGCTACCCCGTACCCGCCAGGTGTTTGAGCACTACTTCAAGGAGCTGGAGGAGGAGAGCCTGCGGGACAACTTCGTCATCGTGTACGAGCTGCTGGACGAGCTGAACGACTTCGGTTTCCCGCAGACCACTGACAGCAAAATCCTCCAGGAGTGAGTCTCCTCCGTTCGGCCCGGTCTCTGTCGTTTGGTTCCAACTTCACGTGTGTTCTTGGAGGGCAAGATGGGGTGTGCAGGGAGATAGTAATTGAATGTGCAATGTGCATGCGATCTGTCATGACTGTGTATGCAAGTTGTCACTGTCACTTGCTGCTCGATTTATAATACTAGGTAGATTACGGGATAAAACCACAAGTTCTTTATAGTTCCATGAACTGGATATGGCCGGTCTTCTTTTACCGTCATTGCACTTGACCACGGGCAATAAGCCCCAAACGATGACCGATGTGCCAGCAGTGCCACCCTGGCTCCCATTAATGGCGTAAAATTTGTGCATCTGTCACTTGAACCAGCAGTTTATTCAAAACCAAAATTAACCGCAATTACTGACCGTAATCGCCCTCGCCCGTAGCATGTTAATCGTACCTCAGCCATACCTTCCCGTGATAATCCTGACCACACCGCGTTTTGCCGTCAGGTACATCACCCAGGAGAGTCACAAACTGGAGGTGGCGCCCCGGCCTCCGATGGCCGTCACTAACGCCGTCCACTGGCGCTCCGAGGGCATCAAGTACAGAAAGAACGAGGTCTTCCTGGACGTCATCGAGTCGGTCAACTTGCTGGTACGTGTGGGGAGGGGAGATGGAGAGCTGCTGGTTGGTACGTTTCGGGAGAGGGGGTACGTGCGGGTGAGCGGGAGGTGCTGACACTTGCAAGGAAGAGCGGGGGAAGATGGAAAGCTGCGGATACGTGCGGGGAGCAGCACAAGTTCAAACTTATCCGACTGAAACGCGATAGGAGTCAGTGTTCGGAAGTCTGGTCATACTAAATAATTGAAAAGATGTAACCTTTCTAACTAACATCTTGTACGCTTCTGACTGAACAGTTAGTTTTGAAAAGCTCGTTGGTTTTCTCGTTAATATTACATTTTGTCGTCACGTCACTGTCTTATGTTTGCTTTGTATGCTCAGCTAACCGCCGTATTCTGCCTCGTCCCGCAGGCCAACTCGAACGGTAACGTACTGCGCAGTGAGATCGTGGGCAGCATCAAGATGCGTGTCTACCTGTCCGGCATGCCCGAGCTGCGGCTGGGTCTCAACGACAAGGTTCTCTTCGAGAGCACTGGACGCGGCAAGAGCAAGTCGGTCGAGCTGGAGGACACCAAGTTCCACCAGTGTGTCAGGCTGTCCAGGTGAGTAGGAGCTGACAGGATTGATTGACAATGGACACGTAATAGCCACTCTGCTGTGGAGTGTCTGCTGAAGTGAATACAGAATACAGGACGTTTCAACAGGGTGAGTGAGTGAGTGAGTGAGTGAGTGAGTGAGTGAGTGAGTGAGTGAGTGAGTGAGTATTGAGTGAGTGATTGAGTGAGTGATTGAGTGAGTGATTGAGTGAGCTCCACCAGTGTGTTTTTCCCTCTTAGTTGAGCGATGATCGATAGACGGTGCTGCTGAACGGACCAGGGAAATAATTTAAATGCGTGATAGGTCATTTGCGTAACCATGCTTGTTAAGATTAATCCAGAGGTATAATGCGGTTTCCAGAGCCGTTGCTACGGCACTTAGTGCACCGCATTGTGACAGTCCTTGTCATGGATAACCTCGCCTTAGCTCGTACCCGTTTTTACGGGAGTGGGTGCATTACCCAGACAAATATCTGGCTGTTGTTGTGTACCCGGTGTGTCCATGCTGACCCTGGTTCGGTATGTGAGCGGTTGGCACGGTCGGCGTCCGCCGTATGGCCACACCTGCCGCTGGCCCGTCACCCAGTGTGTCTGTGACGGCTGACGGAGTTCGGATTGTCGGCAGGTTCGAAAACGACCGCACCATCTCGTTCATCCCGCCCGACGGCGACTTCGAGCTCATGTCCTACCGGCTCAACACGCACGTGAGTGGCCCTCTGGGCAGACTTAGCTGCCCTAATGCTCATCCTTCAAGCTCATGTCCTACCGGCTCAACATACACGTAAGTGACCCTCTGGGGCAGACCAGCTGCCCTATTACCTGTCAATCGAGCTCATGTCTTACTGGCTCAACACACACGTAAGTGATGCTTTGGGACAAACCAGTTGCCCTTTTACGTGTCCTTCGAGCTCATGGCTACCGGCTCAACGCAAAGCATTTCCTTGTTCAGCAGAGGGCTACAGTATTTGTTCAGTGGTACAACACTTGGTATTGGCTTCCCAGCGAGATTTAGCACCAGACTTCCGGCCTTAAAAAAAAAACTTTGTCCTTTCCTTGGTCACCGCGTGCTTCCTTCGCCAAAACAGGTTCCCTTGAAGGCGCTGAGTATCCATTTATTAGTCATCAACTATGAATGTTGTATATCACAGCTTCCCGATGGTCACTGTCGTGTTCTGACTCACACCGTATCCCTCTGGGGCTCGGTCCGCCCCACGCGGCCGGTCACACGCTCCAGACACGCACACACGCACACTGAGTCACGGACGGCGCCGGTCGGGAGGCGATAGTGCGGCGCCGCCGTGTCGGGACCGGCGCCGGCTGCCGCCGTGTCGGGACCGGACGGATGGCGGGGTCGAACGGACGTCGGAGGGAGGTCGGGCACCGGTGACCCAGACGGAGCTTTTTTCTGAGACTGGGCGGATGAGGGCTGCGGACGGGTCTTGGTGAAGCTCTCTTGGGACTCGATGTGTTGGTAGATTGAAGTCGGTGATCTTCAATCACCAGAGTGGCTAAGGGTGGTTTTTGGCCGAAAGTTCTCCGTTCGAATGATACACCGCATTGTTTTTGTTAAAGATAATTGCTATTTTATGATCGAAGGAGTTCAAATCAAAATGTTTGTGTTATTTGGTTCTACTTTTTTGTTAATATACGATCCCTTCTCTCACGGCCACACATCTATGTTGTTGAGGAGCGGCCCAGAGAAGGTTCGCTGTACTTACTGGGAATCACGCCCCGGCCGCGTCCATGGATCACGAGCAGACTATTAGCCACTCGACACCTAACGGGGGGAGGGGGCTGGCCGGCCATTAGCCCTGGCTGCGATCAGTTGGACAGCCCCACGCCAGCCGAGACTCCCTGGAAACCGGCCGGCTGGCAACCGAGCTGGCAGCCAATAGCGAAAATATTGTGGTTTTCAGTTGACGGAATTGCCGTAATTTGTCATTAAAGATTGTTTTGTTTTTCTACCGACGTAACCAAAAGTCGTGAACCGTGAAAGTGTCAAACGTCCCATTTGGTAACAATAATTGTGCCAGAAATTAAGCCCAACGTAGCTACGCGGAGCGATGATTGGCAAGATTCCAGAATGGTGCGGCGTAACTCATGACGAGCGCTCTTTGTTTGCCAAACCCACAATTACGGCCCGTGACACTCAAACAACACCTTTGTTACCTGGATCACCCCCGATTCTTTATGGTCTCTTTATTTTGAGTTTTATCTGTTTCGATTCGAATTCATTTAGTTCTCTAGCCATGAACCTTCACATTCTTTCTCGACCACGCTGTACTGTGCAGGTCAGTTTATTCATCGTGTGGTCCAGGTCGGGGCCCAGCCAGTAGGCACCATTCGTCTCTGTCCGGCTAGCCGCCGAGCCGTACGGCTCACCACCCTCGCCAGCCGTCCAAACGACTCGTATATCAGTCCGTGCCAGCCGCCCGCCTCCGGGCGTTTTATTTCCATCATAAAACTTCTCAGCTCTTAGGAGATCAAACTCGAAACTCGGCTGACTGGCAAATTTAGTGTGTGATTGCATTGGATAATATTACCTCATACCCTGAATAAGTGATGAGTGAATATAGCAATGCTACTCTCCCTCTACTCTTTTAAATGAATATTGACTTGAGTAAAATATTTACGTTTTGGAATTTAGTTATAAGAGGGTTGTTTAACTTTAATTGTCAGCATTGATTTGACGCATGGGCGCCGCCACCGGGGGGGACGGGGGGGACGCGTCCCCCCCACTCTCAGAATGGAAGGGGGACGTCCCCCCCAAACTCATTACGGAGCGAGCGAAGCGAGCGTAGTCTTTCGTAGGTTCACGGAAATTTCTGAGCACGCCGTGGTCACGCTTTTGCTAGGCTTATATCTCAGCAACCACTTGACCGATTTACATGCGATAATTTTTGTAGGGTAGCACTAGATTCATTCCTTCTAACGAGCATCGGACTATTCCCGATGCATGTGAGTGGCCCCATATGCACGTGCCACGTGAAAAACGAAGAGGTGTCAGTTTTGTAACAATTTCAATATCTCGGCAACTACTGGGCTGATTGCGCTGAAAGTTGGCTTCGCATGTAGGTAGAGGTACATACCTATACCCACTAGGCAATGCATATCCATGTGCCACAGTTGGGGTGCTGCTGCACGTGCGCACATGCAGGGGTCGATTCCAGATCTCGAGAACGGCTGAACCGATTGTGCTGAAATCTGATACATGGTTAGGGACCGGTTAGTAGGGTGCCGTGCAAAAGTCAGTTGGGACCCATTTTGCACGTGCGCACGTGCAGGGTGCCGATTCCAGATCCCGAGAACGGCTAGGCCGATTGCGCTCAAATTTGGCACATCGTTAGGGACCGGTTAGAAGGGTGCAGTGCACAAGTTAGTTGGAGGTATCCCCTCGCAATTTCGCACGTGCAAGGCCCACCCCACCCTCTCGCTCGCTCCGTTGGTCGCCCCAAAAGGCGTTTTACTGGTTGTTATCCTACTCGAAAATTGATTTTGCCCTTCGGTCCAATGAGACCATTTCAGAGCCGAAAGTATGAAAGAATTAGTTGGAGACATTGGTCGGGGCAGCCACCCCAGTGAGCCACTTGGGATGAACCCGACCAATTGAACAGGCAGCCCAGCCCACTGGCACTCACTGCACCCGGCAAAGGACTATAGCTCCAGTGGAGCCATTCCCGCATGGGATAGAGTTGCCCGTCCAGCCCGGAGCAGGGGGTTGCGGCGTGGGGGAGAAGGATTTGACTGTCCTGAGGATGGAAGAGATGGAACAGCCGGTGCCGAATCTGAGAGGGTCCAGGAGGCCACTCAGTATACCTCATGGGGTGTGGGCCTACATGCATTGGTCTGACCCCTGCCACCTCGGCCAACAAAATCTCCAGCTCTTATCCGACCTGTCATCGCGGAACTGCCGATTTTTGATATCGTGATCAACGTGTGTCGTATAACACGACTGGCCGAACACGGGCCTAATATATTTCTTCTAACCAGCCAAGAACATGACTTTACACCAATCCGACCTCGAAGTCAAAATCCGAACATTTTCGAAGACTTCAACACCGACTCTGGCCAAAACTGGCCAAAACAACTCAACTCCGACTGATTCCGGCTCCGACCCCACACTTCTGCAGTCACGCTACACTAAATTTCCAGCTTCTAAGAAATAAGCTATACGGTTGACACTTGACAGGACCACAAAACTTTGAGGCGACTTGACTACTTGACTTGGTTTTCCTGACCTAAGGTTTTCTGGTATCAAGCTTGTTACACGGGCTGCAAAATTCGTATTTTGGAGCAGTTTTGCCTCATGTTTTTTTTTGCCAATTTTCGCGGCGCTTCGCGCCGATTCGTGCACAAACCATACAGAGAGATTTGTGACTATACAACGCTCCCTCCCCCACGCGGGTATGCAATATGCATTACCTATGCAATATCCATTTTCGATCATATTAGTGGCATTCATCAGCAATTATACCGTGATAGAACACGAGGCTTTGCCGTGTCAAACTGAATCGGACATCAGATGTGTATATAGGTAGGTACTCGGTGGGAATGCGGTCTATAGCCATTACTTTAAGGAAATACCTAATTCCTAAACTACTTTCCTCAAACCAGTTGTTTTGCCACATTTCTATGGGTTTTTAAACTTAAAATGGTCAGGAAATAATGAATATTTGCAAAAGGATTTTACATTTATTTTTACATCACTATTTTCCATCTTTCGTAGAGGCTACTTACCTATATTGCAGCGGAAGCTGATAACGCGTTGACCAAGCATAGTACGTAGCTCAAACCAGCTGAATGCTGATTGGCTAGCATTTTTCCGTAAGGGAATGGATTCCTCGGTAAGAGAATGACAAAGTGTAATCTATGGGAATGACTTCGGTCTTCAAACCTAAAATCGATAGGTACCGATATATTTGGCTAGGGTGATCGTTGGGCCATAAAATCTCCTGATTTGTTCTCGTCTCAACTCGAGCAACAAAACTGTTACTTCAGTTCAAAACCCTATGTTAAAAGTGGCATATTTGCTTTAAACGTTGAATGTATCCGACCGAAAAAGCCACGGTAAGAATGTCTACTTTTGGGTTTTCAGTCGGTCAGTCCGTCCCCCCCTGTCAAAAATCCGTGGCGGCGCCCCTGATTTGACGCCATGTCACGCCTTGGCGTCGCCAGTTGTCCCGTTAATTATAAAGCGTTTGTCATCGGCGGCGTCTCCTGACCCCTCTGCCCCCTCTCCTGTCACCTCGTATCGCCGTCTCTAACCCCTCCCTCCCTCTCCGCTGCCCAGGTGAAGCCGCTCATATGGATCGAGTCGGTCATCGAGCGCCACGCGCACAGCCGCGTCGAGTACATGGTCAAGGCCAAGTCGCAGTTCAAGCGCCGCTCGACGGCCAACAACGTCGAGATCATCATCCCCGTGCCGACTGACGCCGACTCGCCAAAGTTCAAGACGACCATTGGCAGCGTCAAATACGTGCCCGAGAAAACCTGCATCGTATGGAGCATCAAATCGTTCCCGGTGAGTGAGGAGCGGAGTGCCGGAGTGGGAATGTTAGTTGAGAGTGTAGAGGACTGGTGGAAGAGTTGTGTTTAAAATTTATAATCGGTTCATATCGACGAACAATTAGAACAACGACGGGCGGATGTATTAGATCCGTATATTCAGTAGCAGTTGTTCCTGATGGAAAATTACCGCTATTATTCATTGTTCGTTGTGTTTACTTTGTTGATCCTAACTATATCCTCAGCATGGAAAACTGATGTAATGGCCTATATGTATGCAAAATTATTTGCTAAATTACCAGTTGCTCAACTAGCAGCTGCATAATCACTGTACGGTTGATACAGCAGATGTGCGGCCAACGGGTCTGCCATGGGACGTCTGTTTACACGTCCATACCAGGCGTAGGTGCTCCGAGTATACAGACAGGCACAGATGGGGCGCCAGACGTGTCCACGGTCCACATGGCACGCGCTGCCGGACCAGGCACATGTGTCATGAACGGTCCGCGGCTGGCAGAGTGCCTGAGCTATCAACTAGAGGGTGAAACGCCCGGGGATTTAGTGAATTGATCCAGTTACTTCGGAGAATAGAACGGGCAAAATACTAACCACGGCCATGAGTTATGCTACATATAGAAAGGCTAACGGTCCATAAAGGTTGGGTTGAAATGCCCTAAATACTACAGGAAACAGCAGGGTTAACCTTCCAGGCGGGGGGGGGCATTTTTTTGCCCCCCCCCCCTTTAGTTTTTTCAATATATCTCGAGAACCGCTGCGCCGATCGTCACCAAACTTTCAGTACCCTCCCGGGAGCAGCTAGCGCATATGGTGACCAAAAATTTTTCCAAAGGCTATGATAGATTGGCCGCTAATGACGTCAGAGTGACGTCATTTTTGCCATTTTCGACCCAAAAAAAGGTTTCGCGGGAAGAGCTGTCAGGCCTACAGCTTTAGAGACACAGAAAAATGTTTCAGACATAAAAGGTGTGGAATCAAAAGGGCTACAAAACTGCTATTTCGGTTTTTCGATTTGTTTTTGATTTTGAACCCCAAAAATAAAAAAATAGATTTTTTGAATATAATAGCCGAAAAATCCAAAAAGTTTTTTTAATTTAAAAAAAACGGAATATATGTGATAGTCCCCACCGCCTTCTATCTACATACCAAATTTGAGATCGATACCTCTTTTTTTTGGCCAAGTTATAGCGAAAAAACTGTTCAAAATTGATGACGTCAAATTTTCAATCTCAATTTTTAGCAATTCTAGACCTCGTAGCGCAAAACAAAGACCACCATTAGACTCCCCGTGACGAGCTGCATCGAATCGATACCCATTTTATGCAAAAAATATCAACTTTGAAATTTGACCTTTTTTGACCTGAGCTTGACCCGACCTCCACTAGAAAGTGACCTAAACCGTACCTGATGGTCTTATAACCAACACCATTGAGTTGGAAATGAAAAACTAGCCATAAAACATGCATCGCATAACCTTAGTAAAGTTGGGCTCATGTGGTGACCCTCGGTGACCTTTGGTGACCTGACCTGCGACCTGACCTGGTATGACCAGTGACCTCTAATAGCAACATATGTACTAAACAACTGACGCCCTATGGCTGATTTTCGACAAAATGCGTTTTATTCGGTGTTATAGCGCTTTCCCTAGAAGCCCCGTGAACGGTGAAACATTTTATCTTTGACCTGACCTGTGACGTCATCGGTGACCCCGAGGTCAATGAAATTCGGTTTCCTTCGACGAATTTGACAGGGCTATCGAACGCCGTTTGAATTTTCCGGATCCGTCCAGTAGTTTCGGAGATACGGGGGGGGGCAAAAAAATGTCGCCCCCCCCCCCCCCCCCCCCCCCCACCGCGCGGAAGGTGGCTGGTAGGCCCACCGCCTGCCGGGTTAAAGTAGCTGACAACGAGTAAAAGTACCTGATACTTTGGTCTGTCGAGCGTGGTCGCAGAAGAGCTGACCTGACCTGATCTGACCTGACCTGATCTGACCTGACCTGACCTGACCTGACCTGACCTGACCTGACCCACAGGGCGGCAAGGAGTACCTGATGCGGGCCCACTTTGGTCTGCCGAGCGTGGTGGCGGAGGAGGTGGACGGCCGGCCGCCCATCAACGTGCGGTTCGAGATCCCCTACTTCACCACCTCGGGCATTCAGGTCAGTATCTGGGGGCAACACTAACATCATACGTTGCACTGTTCAGTTTATAAAACACGGGTGCTGACTTTGGGTTTTACCGGACAGGCGGACAGGGTCCGCAAATCACCGCCGCATGCCACATAACTAACATTGAGCAAACAGTACTGTGTACAAAATGAAGTACATCGGTAAAATAATTCAGTTCACTATCCAAAAACGTCAGCACAGGTGACGTAGGTGATGATAGGTCAGCGTCCAGTATCGAGGAAACACCTCCAGGCTCCACGGGTGCTTTGGGTTTGGTCCAACAGCTGAACAAGCACCAGGATTCCGTGATTCGGTCTCTGGCGCAAGAACTGAACCTTGAGCAACGCCCCAGCCCACCCCAGTCCATAGCGCCCGCTGTGTTTGTTGGTGCCTTCCGGCCGGCATCGATCAACCAGCATCCGTTTGTTGACTCCGTGCCATGGTGGGCCACCTGTATGCACGGGAGGAGAGAGAGAGAGAGAGAGAGAGAGAGAGAGAGAGAGAGAGAGAGAGAGAGAGAGAGAGAGAGAGAGAGAGAGAGAGAGAGGGGAGAGAGAGAGAGGGAGGGAGGGAGAGACTCTGAAACTCTGTAAGGAACCTACCGCGCTGGACGGCCGTGATCCTCGGGAAGAATCTGTCTCGCTATAAACCATGAGCTCGGCATGACGACGACCCGCTCTCTGCGTGATGACCCTTCTGAGAACGACTCTGCGTTCCCTGCCAACCATCCGTGGGCGGCCAGAAACGCCGCACCGGTCCGTCCGATTACCTGGGAATGTTGGCTTTGGCACACTACCGTTAGTAAAGCAGTTTTATATTAATACTATTTATTTGCTGTTCAGTTCGGTTGCCGAATGTAGATTACTAATGCTGTGTTTGTTGGTTTTGGTTTTTGGATGTGTCATCTGTTTCCTGTTTACAAAACATTATTTACTTAAATGTGACGTCTGGACGACGCGATGGCTAAAGTCAGAAGTAAAAACGAAGCTATTACGCACGAAAACAATAAATTAGTCAGATCAAATGCTCATCCTGTCGCCACAAGAAGTCGATTGGCCGCATTTCGCTCATGCTTCTTTTGAAGTTTATTGACCGATGTCCATAAAAGCATTTATCCATTTTGGGCTGAGATGCCATGGCCCATGACTCCATTACGATCTACGAGTCGTTCTTCCTGGCGTTCTTTCGAGTCAAGTGATTCATAAGCCGTTGTTTTGGTCAGAGTGCTGGTGTCAACTGGGCTCATATCGCTCCTATTCAGCTATGTAACCCGCCGTGTCTCCACTCTCCAGGTGCGGTACCTGAAGATTATCGAGAAGAGCGGCTACCAGGCGCTGCCCTGGGTACGCTACATCACACAGAACGGAGACTACCAGCTGAGGACGCAGTGATGATCGTCCGAGAACCCCCTGTGACACACCCTCCCGTCCCTGACCGGCCCCAGCACAGCCGGCCGCCGAGACCCGGCACACCCGTCATCTGTGGTACCGTACTGTAACGGTACAAATGTACTCTGCACTGTATTGAACCGCAGCGGCAACACAGCTGGAGAGTCCGCGGAGAATGCGTGAGCAGGTGGTGGGTGCTGGATAAACTGTGAATGTGTGTCGTGGGTCGTGAGTGATGAGTCGTGAATCGTGAGCCGTGAGCCAGGCAGAATCTGATGAGGCCGCGGGGCTTTGGTATCGATTGTTTTCGAACGGTTGAGATTGTGAGACTGGTGAGAGATGGGAGAAGCATTCCGCGGTTGGTCCGTTATATGTCCGTGTGTGTTAATTTTAACCAAATATATTCAGTGTCTTGGTCGTGCGAAATGTTTTGGCATGTGAGCGACAGTTAGGCGTATGAGCTAGCAGCTGGATGTGCGTGGTCACATTATCTGAGCATCATCGTACACAGCTACAGACTACGGTACCATGTGATTATAATTTCTTTTCACTACCCTGCCAGGCTCGATCACTGAATGCTGAGCAGTAATAGATAGCAGCCGTCAAAACTTGGACCCAAACGCAAAGAGAGGATAGCTTTGACATTCAACAACAGCTGGCTGTTCCACGGGTTTGCTGTAACCTGTCCGAGCAATCCTCCAACCACCGGTCGCACCCTTTAACCCCGGGTATTGCGACGCTTTGCGAGGGGTAAGCGATGAACTTGGCACTCGGTAGTACGGCGTCTCGCTGCGCCCCTGGCACCGATCATTGAGCTGGCAAGCTCGAGTGACGCGGCCGGCCAGAACCGACGGTCGCCGCTGCGCGGTCCCGGACGTTTTCTGGGAACTCACCGGTCCGGGGAGCGTCCTTTGTATGAACCCTGTGTTCGTGTAACAGCTGACCAGCCACTGCTCAGTTTGAGACTTCTGTACTCAGAATTGATAGAGCGTACAATTAATGGAAGTATCTACTTTTACAGGTCGTGATTATGACCATGGGTGGAGCTTTTCCGGGGAAGTTGGTGGGGCAAAAAGGCATGAAACCTACACTGTCCGACTGTCGAGTTGAATAAAATGAAGACTGAATCAATTCCTGTCATTGCAAACGTAACATTTTGCATAACACGGACATTCCAAAGCTCCTCAATGATTGTTTTTCAAAGCAACAAAGTTATGCAAATCAGCTAAAGTTGGTGGGGAAAAATGGCAAATTGATAGGAAGCTCCGCCCCTGATTATGTATGACCTTGAAATCCTCAGCGCGTGGATCGGGATAAAATTCTAGAGGCTACATGGCGATGGTTCGCAGACCTGAAAAGTGAAGAATCGAATGGGTATGAACGTTTCCACACACTCAACTCCGCTGGGTCATGGTAACCTTATCTTTACCTCTACACTCTACTCCTTCCCGTTGTCTCATAACCGTCCGAAGCTTGACGCGACTGCCGCCGGCGTCCACCTCGTCGATAGTTGCATCTTCCCCTCTCCTCCGGCCGCCGCCTCTGCCGCCCTCCCCCCCCCTGTCGATCATACCGCGATCACCGTCAGCTCGCCTCCGGGGGTGATCTGGTGTCACCCGAGCCACCGGGGGGGGAGGGGGGGGGTGACCACCAGATGTCGCTCGGCTCAGCTGAGTCACTGCGGCCCTCGCGTGGCCGCCGGGTCCAGCCGTGTGCCCGCCGGGGTCGTGTCGGCTCCAGTCGGGCCGTTTCCAGTGGTGCGGCGGTGTGCTGCAGCCCGGCGGACGATATGGCGGACTCCGGGGTGGCGTTCACTTTCGACGAGCGGCGCGCGACCTCGCTGCGCCAGCTGCTGACCTGTGACCGGAGGACTGACCCGGGCGGTGACCCGAGGTCAGGTCACCTGACCACGGAGATGCCCGGGGAACGTCGCCGCCTGCCCGACCACCTGCTCTAGTGAGTGTTCCATGCTGTCACCGTGCTCTGACCGGGTGTGAGTGATGGCTTCGTTAGTGCCGTGAGAACCGTGTCCGGCTGAGCTACCGGCCGGCCGCTGCTGATCTTGGCACCGGCCTGGGTCGTACACTGTAAAAAATATTGACTAGCCCCTCGTCAAATGATTCTCAACGCTAAATGTCGGGGGTACAGACTAGTTTTGCATCCTACTTTTGACACACGCTGCGAGCCCCTGGCTTGTTTTGTGTTCGTCAGATGACAGTTACCAGGTGTCGGTTAGTTTTTACCACGTCCCAAAAATAGCTGGAGCGTTTCTGCCTTGTTTTGGAAGCGTCCTCGTTAATGCTGTGTATGATAACAAAGTACCTAGTAACAATAATAACGAAAAACAATGTCAAAACGAGGGCGGCTTGTTTAGTGACGATGCTCAAAAGAAGCATCGTCTTGTTCCTACTTAACGAATGAAGCTCAAACTAGGTCAAAACTAACGTATTGCTCAACCCATAGTCAGATGACCAGCAGATCCTACGCCGCCCAATCCAGTCATCGAATTTGCCAGCGAATTCGTTTGAAGACCATCATATTATTAAATATCGGTGGTCTTCAAACGAAATCCCTTACCAGTTTGATGACGAATTCATCCGGCCAGGGGCGGCGCCACGGGTTTTCGATAGGGGGGGACGGGGACTGTAGCTGTCCGAAAATCCCAAAAGTAGATACTGATCGTGTATGCAAAAAAAAAAAAACGAGGCACGTAACGCCGCGAAACTTGGCAAAGCCCAAAACACATCGAATGGTGCATCCCGTTTCCAAACTTATCCTAGGACACCTAAGATCGATCACCTTTTCAAGCATCCTTGCCTCTAAATCAAAATTTGCAGTCTTGCCAACTCAAAGCTGGTTTCCTACAAGCTGCGAATTGCTTAGGGATACTGGCCGCGTGGCCGAGTGAACTGGGTGTCCGGCTGGAAATCCGGAGGCGGGAAGTTCGCGACCGGTCGGTCAGTGTCGAGTAGCAGTGCCAACTATTCTTACGTTTCGTACTTTCAAATTTTCGATCTTACGTCTGGTCAGCTTCATGGCTTCACCCCCATATAGTCATGGAGGAAAAGTGGGAATGTCTTCTGCTCTGACAAGTGCGCCAAAACTGCAATATACTTTCAGAATCATGACATCACCACCTGATCCATATGCAACGGGCAGGGTGCAGCTAATGGCTAGCCGTCAGTGGTCATGTCATTGGTGGTCACTCAAAAGGTCATGCTAGGTCATGGAAGGTCACCAGCCGTTATTTGATCACACTTTCTTATGGATTTTACTTACCAAGAGCTTCGCGGGAAAAACGAGCGCATGCCGCATGCACCGTTGAAAAAAAAATTGAGTGAAAGGGTCTCAGGTCCGGCGGCCTCTGCAGGTGAAATGCCCCAGGGTAGGATTCCGGTCCTTGTTGATTAACTTCGTCAAAAATGGCAGTAGAGCTGTGATGTCGGCACCATTGTGTTCGTCATGATCGAGCTGGCACGACCTGCATCGTTCTCATATTCACCCTCCAATCGTAACAACACAGCATGGGGATTGGCAAATGGCGGGGCACCCCCTTTGGGAGGTAATGAAGGTCTCTGGAAACCTCATCCCTCATCTCTTTAGACTTTAGCATTAGTGGCTCTCCTTATGGAACAGGTTTCTTGACTGGTCTGTTTCACCCCAGAATTCAAAGACTAGTCAAGGTAAAACCGAGCGTACCACAGTGAGCACAATTTGATAAGCTGGTGTATCTCAGTTTCCATGTAGAACCTTTCACGTATCACGTACCTAAAACACTTTCGTGCACTCATGCAAAAGCAACTGCCATGTTTCAACAGCTGGTAATGGCATTTTCACAGCCGCTGACGTAAGAAGGGGAGGGGGCTCGATTAGACCCCCAGCCGTTCGGCCGCCGACCGAACTTAGTTTTGCAGAAAAAAAACGAGTGCTATCGAACCCCTTGACGAGAGGGAGCCGATGCTACCCAATTATAAGGTCTTGGGCTACTGCGTGCTTTTTTGGTCCTGCCTATGATCTATCCGAACACTTCTCCCCACAAGTGCTGGGGTTAAATGGCATAGATTTGAAATGGTTCCTGTGGTAGAACTGCCATGCTTGAATTTGACTAATTAGGAATGGAAAATATCCATATAGTAACGGAAATCTATGGAATTTCAGTTAACTTGGTTTTGTCGGCAATGGGGTCTGGCAGTGGGGTGGGGAGGTAATAACCCTGCCTGGCGCCCCAAAAAAAGGGGGGCACGATCCCCGAGGCCCTGCCGATCACCTTATAGGCATCACAGCTCCACACCTTTTGCAGATGGCCAGGACCCCCTGCGATACATCCCAACAGCAATCTTTATTCAGAACCTGCCTTGATTAACCAACGATGCATTAAATGCGACGGATAACTTTACAATGCATTATTATCAACTATTGAACGGGCCTCGCCGATAGGGGGGTACTGTACCCCCCTAACTTTCGATAGCGGGGGACCTGTCCCCCCCGTCCCCCCCGGTGGCGCCGCCCATGCATCCGGCCCATTCCAAAAACGCTCAAGATAAAATGAAAGTGTATTTCTGAAATAATATGCTTTCTTGCAATGCACCTTTCGTATATAAAGCGAATCTTTCACTTCCAGCGCCCGTTTACAGTTATCAATCGAATCAGAAGCATGCACATACCTATCGATAGATCTGAACCTAAGAACACAGACGACATTTTGTAGAGTACCTGTCTGAGCCTATGCAGTGGAGCCCGTGAGCCGCCCAACCGCAGCTGCCTCATGAACTTGATGATAGGTCTGAACCTCAGAATGGCCAGAGCTTGGCCGTCAATAACCAGCTTATTTATATCCACAGTTGTAGTGACTTAGGGTTTGGAATTTGCCAAACCTAAGTTTTGATTACCAAGAGAAGTTTTGTACTTCTTGCACTTGCCCTTTCTTCATAACTTTGGCGGAAATCGTCGTAGTGAAACTTCAGTGTTCCGTTAGCTGTCGGTTCTTGAGAGAGTTGGCCAGGCCGGACACCGGGGGCGGCTCCACAACTTTCGAAAAATTAAACCTAAGTCCTATTGCACTGCATGGAGAGCAATTCATTTAAAATCGCTCTTGTTTCGCCCCCCCCCCCCCTCGACAACTTTGCAAACGTCTCTGCGCGATTTGGTTGAGAATAATGGCTTATGGCAAGTTATTGAATCAGGACGTCGATCACTGCAGGTCATATATCGGCAAGCAATTCTTCATAACTAGACACTGCACAAATGGAAACGATACAGGTTTGCCCAGTGATAAACACTCGCACTGCACAGACTCGCGCACCCCCGACCGAACGCGGCACGGCACAGCGCAACAGCAGCTGGCGCCGGGAAGCCGGGAACGCATTAAGTGAAGGATTCACAGGTGCGCAACTTTATTGCGAACAATAAAAACCTACCGCAAACGATTAAAAAAAAGTTTTAGGGCAATCGGAAATACAAATGTATTGACTTATAGAAATAAAATTGTCATTCACCTTCCAAATAACCCAACAATTTATTTGCCGTAAAAAGTGTCTGGAAATGGAAAGTTGCTAACATGATTCAGCAAGTAGGGAAACGCAGCCGCTACCTGGCGAATAATCTCAGGCTGGTTTAGTGACGAGTGCATTGCTACGGCTTGTTCCTCAACCTTCACAGATTACTATGACAAAACTACCCCTAGTATTTTGATCATCCTGAGGCTGGCTTTCACCTAATAATTTGATGAGGGTCTTCCTCGTTTCGGATTGAGGCGAAAACAAACGTCAAACAACCTTGATAGTTAATTCAGCACTTCAAAACAAAGGTACACCTAGGGTATCATTACAATACCGGATCATAACGATCTGGATAGTTCTCAGCCTGTAAGCTAACTAAGCGGTAACTAGTCAAGTGGTAGGTACCGGAAGCATTGACAACCTGGTGACTGTTTCGAGACCCTTGTTTTGACACATAGCTCGTCAATATTTTTTACAGTGTAGGGCTGCCTGCTGAGTGCTGATGCCACCACCTGCTGAGGTTGTGGAGAGCTGCAGTACGTCTGTCGGACTAGTTGATACGGGATCTAACGTGTATGGTAACAAATCGGGTGCACACTGCATACTGCATAGTGAGCATCGTGCCGGCGAAACACACCGGCATGATTTGTGTCACATTTATCGGGATATAGTCAAGCCAGGCTACATGACCATCTACTAGCATACTGCATAATTTATAGCAGTAAGTTCAGGTTCCTGCCGAACAATTTCCAATCCTTTCCAGATTTAAAATGATCTTATTCTTAGGAAATCACGGTTGTACGAGTGCTCGATATTTGAATCGAGGGCGAAACGTCGAGACAAGGCACAAGATACATGTATAATACATAGGGTACTGCATAGATGAATGACAACTGCGCACCAAATCGGGTAGATTATGAATCGTGGTTGGTGGGAGGATGGGATTAGTGAAGCTGATTATGTTAGGGAAAAAGATGGAATGGTCATATCTGGTGGGGTGGTCAGAGGTCAGGGCTGGTGGGATGGTTGAAGGTCGGAGCTGTTGGAATAGTTGGTGGTATTTTTGCCTCTAAGTACCTCCAACGTCCCACGTAGTGCGCCGCCGTACAATGCCGCTCCGTCGGCCCGGGGTTACGGTCGACCGTCTGTTTATTTACAGTGCCCCTCCCGACGGGTCCGCCCCTTCTGCCACTCAAACGCGGGGCTACGAGCGTGCTGACGGCTGCCGGCGCTCCTACCACGCCGGCGCGGCGCCGGGGGGCGAGTGGCCTGTGATGTAACCTTCACTACACAGTGCACATGAACGTAACCCATTAGCTATCTTACGGGGGCGCCGAAATCGTAGGACAAAGTCAGCTGGCAACAAATGTGAACTAAATGAACAGAATGATGTGTTATTATCTTCATGATGATGATATACTATGCAATATGCATACTTTTACTGCATGCCTCCTTTTT